ACCAGAGTAGACTGGAGGCCATTTCCGCCTTTGAACTGTTCAAACCTCTTCTCACATAGTTCCTGTCCTGCTAGACAAATGTAGTCATTACAAAACGCATGGGTACAAATGGCAAGGACATTGTTGGAAGCAAGTGGAAGGAAGTCAAGAAATACATCAGCATGGACCATAAACTTTATAGAGCCTAGAGTGGTGGGATGCCCATGGAGTCATTGCAAAGGTTGTCCTCAGTGCCTGCTGCTGTCCTACCTCTGTGACCCATCAATTCACCTGGCTTTTCAAGTATTGGCACTCTGACCCATTTAAGGCTAAATGCAAAGTATGCACACGTCCAGTTGTAGGACTGTGAACAGTTTCAATCCTTCCCACTTTATAATTTTCAAACCAACAGAAAACTCTGCCAAACTCTGGATAAGTAATATTTTCATATCTATAGCTCAACTTTTAACAGTTTTTTAATAGCTTTTTTTTTTTCCTGTGATAGTGTATATTGATGCTCCCAGAAAAAGAAAATAAATCAAATATTCCATAATGCAAAATCCATATAGTCAAATTAAAATTACCTCCTGGTGCCAAATAACAGTTTTGAGAGCACACATGTTTTAATATTCAGTTTGAGCAGAAAAGCTTATACTCTTCAGAGGAGATCCATTATACTCTCCATGGATTAGAATGATATACAGCATTTAGAGAGCTACATATGTGCCCTTTGCAAGGCTACGCTGCATATCCCAGGGCATTTGAGGCATTACACAATAAAGTTAACCCTGAGCCTATCTCTGCTGGGTAATGGCCTACACCTGCCAGACATCTAGGGAAAAAAATAACAACATGATACTTAGATGGGACTGCTTTTAGAAGGCCTCTCAATTTTGCAGAAGATATTTCAACATGTAGACAGCAACATTTGTAATTCAATCCTGCTGACCAGCAGATCTGAGCATCAGAATAGTTTTTAAAAGAAACTGTTGCATGCTTGTTTTCAACTCAAGATATTAGAGTCTTAATTTGCCATACTATGCATAAATGAACCTACAGTCAAGTCATCTTACTTAACATTAATACCAGCTGATGGCAAACAAAGAATATTTAAATGAAATATTTTAATATCCATGGACTTGAGTGATCACTGACTTCCAATATAAAAGATATATTAATTTATATATTCACTAATTAATTAACTGTTGACTATTATCTTCATGGAAATACTTTGAGCTATGCTAAAAAAACACATTTGTTTTTCTCTTAAATAGAGGGAAATAAATATAATTGTATTTACTGATAATTAATGTGATTATTGGAAGGATTATTTGGAAGGCAAGAACATCAGAAGAGCACATGGGTTTAAAAAAAGGGTCCATCTAGTTCAGTGCTTTGTCTCCAGCAGTGGTGAGAAGTGGATGCCTAGGTACCCAGGGAACATATATGATACCTTCTACCTTCAAGCTTCCAAGTATTTTCCATTCTGGGGATTTCCTGAGCTACTGGGTTTTGTCTGTTTTGCTCTTTCCACGTGCCTGTGGAGTTTCCCTTTGAATTCACACCCTTCAGCAAGAAGTCCCTAGGTCATCAGATATTGCTAGGAAGTCTTGTTCTTTTGTTTGCTTTGAACCTGACTCTCACTTTTGTCTTTTGATGCTGTTTAGTACTTTTATTAGCAGAGAGTAAATGATCAGTCTTTACCCACTCGTGGTTCTGTATGCCTTTTTCATAGTTTCCACATCTGCTCTACTCAGTCGTTCATTACAGGCTTTTGATCATCTTTTTTTTACCCTTCTCTGAATGTTTTCCCATTTTAAGATTCTCTTTTTGTCATGAGGCAACCAGAACTGCACAGAGAATTCAAGGTTTGAGCAAGCCATGAATTTGTATGACATTTAGATGCTTTCTGATTTGTTCTCTAATCATCTTCTAATAATTCCTAAGGTTTTTTGTTTGGTTCTTTTTTGACTGCTGTTGAACAGTGAGATGATGTTTTCATGGAACTATCTATCATATACTGCTTTAAATTAATCTTCTTTGTTGTCTTTCACCTGCCATTTTATTGTCTTGACATGCTGTCTTGTAAAGTCCTTCTGCCATCCTTCATAGTCTGTCCTCATCATTATCACCTTGAATACCTTCAGATCATCAGAAACCCTATCACTGATCTGTTCAACCACTTTTCCAACTCATTCATGCGTATGTTGAACAATATGGATCCCAGCACAGATACCTTGCTGAACACCTCTGGTGACTTCTCACTATTGCAAGGACTGTCCCTTGACTGCTAACGTCTGTTCTCTTTTAGTCAGTTATCTATCTGTTCAAGACATTCCCGTTCTTCTAACTTCTTGAACGCAGACACACAGATATACTTTCTTTTCTCTTATGCTCTGGAGAAATGCTTGGTTATTTAATTATTCAGTTGTAAAAAAAAAAAGAAAAAAAAAAAAACTGGAAAAAAAACCTGCCCCCCCCAAAAAATCTAAAGAACTAAACCAGCACTTTATAGTCTTTGTAAAGAGAAATCTTTCTATAGTACTGAACCATTTCCACAGTAGAAGTAGCCCCTGTGTGGTGTTGCATCCATGGTAGATTAAAGCCACACTGTACACATACCAGCCCAGTCCCAAGCAATAAAAACCAGAGGTTTCTGAGAATGACACTGGAGTCCTAAGTAGCTTCTTCTTCCTGCTGTAGAAGCTGTCTTCAAATTGCCTTTTTCTTCAGGATTATGTTGGATAAGGGTAGGATAGAATTTCAAGGACTGGGCTGATGCATGCAAAAACTGCACAGTTATATAGACCAGAAAGAGCATTTTTACATCTAGTATCTGTTACGGCAGCACTGCAGGCTGGTAGATTAGTTCTAAGCAAAATCCAAACTTTTATTCCATAGTCCCAAATGAGTTAGGAATTGTAATTTGAGCTCCCTGTATGTCATGAGGTCAAAGTCTATTAACATGGGCTTTGAGCAGGTGATTTGACTATGAGCCTCAATAAAATAAAGGTCAGTCAGTGTTGAAAGTACCGAATAATTTTTCCAAGATTGTAGGGATGGGATCCAAATTTTCATGTATTGCTCTAAGGTTGCAATGCAGATGTGTTTAAAGGGTTAACACTGTGGCTCAATCAGAAAGAATGCTTGGCAATAAGAGGACGCCTGGATTAATGATAGAAAGGAATTCTTAGCATTTTATAGCAGTGGGTATTCGAGATGAGACACGGCTAATGATCAACTAAAAAGGTATTTGCAGCTGTGGTGCTACCTCTCCCCATAATGCCAACATTAATCAAGCTTTTTCATGCAGCTTTGCAATCTATTCTATTTTTCATTGTCCTGAATATAAAAACAGAGCTCATGCCCTAATGCACTGAGTCAGAGACTGTACTCCTGTGTCACCAAAAATGATCAGACCTTAATGATTCCTAAAAGTTGCACTTTCTGTACTGTGTGACAGATCCAAAGCAAAGTCTTCAACAAAGCCTTTCATTTTAAAGAAAAAAAAATCCTCTTGTAACCCTGAACTGTGGATACCTCTGGGAGGTGAAGCACTTACCGCCGTGAATAAACTGCTCATATATTTTATTTAAGTCTTGAATTACAACAAAATATCAGCTGTAATTACAGCATCTCTAAGTCTAGTTTTGGAGTCAGCCATCTTGTTGAAAGACCTTGGCAGTGTGAAAAGCCAGTGAAACTGTGTAAGTCAATGTCCTAGCTGTTCTGATGCTGCCTTCGGAGGCAAAAGAAAAGCTTCATTATAGTAAAAAATTAAACATTTGACATACAAGTTATTTCCAGAATGGCTTCAATCTTTTTAAATAATGCACCCCATTGAATCTCAACTTCTCAGCAAATGTTCATTATCTGAATTCCTTAAGTAAACTACACGTGATGCAGCTTTTGAAACATGAACATGATCTTCCCTCATGTAAACAATCCTCTGCCTTTCTTGCCTGATGCTATCACGTTTGGGCGCACATCCCTCTGGATTGAAGGCCCAAGCCTATAAAATCTTGCTATCGAATATCCACCCCAATCTGCAGATGCTTTATGCCTCTGCTTAACAGCCATGACTCATCCCATTAAAGTCAACAGAGTTACAGTAGTAAAGTTAAGCGTGTGTTTGCAGGAATAGGCCCGAATTCTCAGAAGTATTTGGGTAACTCAAGATGCAAAGAGATGACTAGTGGGGGAATTTCATACTGGTGTGACTAATCTACCTAAGATCTCCAAAAATCAAGAGAGAGAGAGGGCTTCTGCAAAGGGGCTTCAGGACATCTAAATTAGGCTCCTGTTTTGGAGCATCTTCCAAAGAAGTCTCCAGCTCTCCCTATCATTTAAGAAGTGCTTTGAGTGCTCTGTCCTGGACACTTGGCTTTACCTCGAGGTGCCAAGCCGTGCCTTGCAAGGAGCCTGTCTGCAGCAGTAGCCACCTCAACACCTCTGGGAGTCCAGCTCCCTGTGGCTGTGTCTCTGCAGTGCTGCTCACAGCAACAGCCCGTGCTTGCCATAGCTTTGCTCTCTAATGGCCTCATGTGCATCAAGACCAGATATTGCTGCCACAGGATAAAGTTCACTTTTCAAACTGACCAAAGGGAAAATAAATAGAAATATCTTTGACTTTTAAAGACCTGGAGGTTTAAGATTCTTTTGTATAGATAAGATTCTTTCTTAAATGTACAGGGCTGAATAAACTTCCCATCTTCACTTTTTATGGTAGATTTATAGATACCTGATATTAAAGGACTAGAAAACATGCAATGATTCCTTCATATTTTAATAAATACAATATATTTTGAGGATCCTCCAACAGCCGTGATTTAGCTGTGTTAAATAAAGTATATTTTATAGAGCTTTAATCAGTTCATGATGGAACATTATGCAAAATATTATGCAATGTAATGCGAAGTAATTAATGCAAGCAGAGAAGTGGTAGGAACGTGAGACTGCTGAGCAGCACGCATTTATGTCACACATTGCTTGCTGATTTTCCCCATTTCTTTCTTTCTTAGATAGTGGTTTCCCGTTCAGAACCGACATCTCCACATGTCAGCTTTCAGTTAGATTCCCACCCCGTCTCTCCCCAGGTTGTTGTTGAGAATTCCTTAGCAGACGATGGCTACACCCTGGTAGTGACTGGGAAAAAGGTGAGTGGTTAATAATCTAATCCTTCTGTGCACTGTGTAAACCTGCCTTCAGAGCAGCAACTTTCAGTAAGAGCAACTATTCACACTGCTGCTTTATGCTCTGCATCCTCCCAGCCTTGCCATTCCCTTGGGAACAGTGGAAGGACAAGTTTCCTCCACAACATTTTTTTTCCCCCAACTACAGAAACCAAGAGCCTAATATTGAGAAATGTTTAAATAACGTAAGAGCTGTGATATAAACCAACAAAAGCCAGGAAATGCAAATTTTAAGGCTGAAACCATGTCCTTAATTCAAGTCCTTGCAAAGAAAAAACACAATGGCTTAAGAAAAGAATGGTGTGCAGTTTCCTGGCTTTCGTTTGTTTGTGTCATAACACTATAACTTTTTTAAGGAGGGGTGTGTGTGCAAGTGCTACATTGATCTGTTTAAAATTGGAAGACAATGTGCATAATAAGGTTTAAAATTGCTTTATCATGCAGTCTACAAAGGGTTAATAGAAGACGATGAGCTGTCATAAATATGCAGTTGCCATAAGTAGATATGCATTGTAGAATAGGTTTAAAACATCAGCAGATAATATTACAGATAATCCTAAACCATAATCGTAAGCAATAATTTGACCCCTTGAGTTCTATAAGAATTTACAGAAATACATCAGCCATTTTTAAAGATGGTTATTAATCATTTACTAGAAATGTATGAGATATTTATAAGAGTAATCTTCAAGAAAATGTACAAAATAAGTTTAAGGAAGGTACTGAAGTGTAAAGAAGTATGATGTGTAGTAACGTAATCATATACTAATTTTAATATTTAGGCTAAAAGATTTCTTCTATATTTTGAGTTACTATTATCATAATTATCCTGATACTTTAAATATTATACAAATTATCCTAAATATTTAATTAATATTCTAGGTATAGTATAGGTTTTTTTGTGGATAGGTGTTAAAAAAACAAGTACTTGGGCTGTCACATGCTGTAAGTGTGTCACATATTAATACAGCCTTGCCAAAGTTGAAATATTCCTATTTTTACAAACATATGAACTAAGACATACTGAGATACACTGTTTTTTCCAAAAACTAGTGCAGAACTGGGAGGAGCACACTGCTGTTTTCTTTTTCCATCAGCAAAAAATGCTATCTTGCTGTAAACACCAGATGCTGGTAGTAACTGTATATAACATTAACATGCCTTTAGGGTTTCTCCCAAGTGAATTTAAAATCATGTCAGTTAAATTACTTATAAGATCCTATAATTACCGAGCTAAAGAGAAGCCGAACGGTGGCTTGCACATCTGAAATCTGAGGAGCACCACAACACGTTGCATAAATAGAGACTCTCCTTGCTGCTTAGTGTATGTATTAAAAGGCTTGTGCACCGTGTCATTCCCTCGACAGATAACGAGGATCCCGCTGAAGGGGCCGGGCTGCCATCACTTCAGGTCCTGCAGCCAGTGCCTGCTGGCACCTGCCTTCATGCAGTGTGGCTGGTGCAGCCAGCAGTGCCTCAGGTCCCCCGAGTGCCCCGGCGGCACCTGGACCCAGGAGACCTGCTTGCCTAGAGTCTATGAGGTAAAAGAGTGGATTTCTAGCGTTTGTCTCTGAGGGAAGAATGCGCTCTGCACTCTGCAGACATTTTCTGTTCGTTTTTATGCAGTTATGATAAATGAAGTGTCTGCCCTCCTCGACTGCCCCTCAGCCTCAGTGTCCATAAAGCCTCTGGGTGGGTGCACGTGCTCTCCCTGAGCGCTGCGGGGTCCGGCACTCGCACGGACGGGTCCATCTGTGCTGTGCCACGGGAGAGCCCCGGCCCTGCAAAGCGCTCGTGGTGGGGAGACAACATGGGGCTGAGCCAACCTGGCAGGGGTCTGGTGGGAAAGGACAGTCACAAAAAGGAGCACCCTTCCTCTCGGACCCCTCTCAAAGGGAGGAGGTGGAGGAAAATGCTTCCCACTCACAGCTGCCACAGCCTGACCCAACACAGGAGATGTTTGGTCAGTGCTTCTCATCCATCCCCGTGCTGGCTCCCGTGATGGAGGAAAGGGTGGTGTTTCCCTGAGGGGAAAAGTCCCTTGCTCCCCTGCCTAAGCTCTACCACAGAGCTGTCAACCAAAACACCACCCTGGGGGAGTTTTTTTTTCCTAACGTCCCTCCCTGGCTCATTGTTCCCATGGGTCCACTCACGGAGGGGAATGAGCACATAGCTGCACCCATGCTTGGGAGAGGGGACAGCCAGGGGCTGCTACCCACCAGCCAAAGCCCATGAAGAGTCTGCAAGAATGAAACCACACAGGTGAGCAGAGAGCTGCACAGGCACATTCCTGTTTGATTTAGCAATGGTTAACACAGGATGCATATGGGCTGGCTGTACATGTAACTAAATCACCCCCTGTGAAGTGTGGCAGAGCTGTGAAGGGGGAGGATTATGGGGCAGTTAACAGACTAGAAACTTGAAGGAAGGACAAGCATAAAACTTTCTGGTAGCACTTATACCCATTTAGTTTTGCTGGTGTATTTAAACTATACCATGTAGTTAAAACTGCATTTTCATTTATGGACATACAGCTTATAAACAGAGATGAAAATTTGACATGCCAAACTCTCAAAGAGAAAGGGAGATAAAAGGTTTATTAAAATACTGAATGTATTTAATGTATGCCCCCTCCCTGGAAGTGTTCAAGGCCAGGTTGGAAGGGACTTTGAGCAACATGATCTAGTGGGAGGTATCCCTGCCCATGGCAACAGGTTTGGAACTAGGTATCTGAAAGGTCTCTTCCACGTCAAACCATTTCAACCAGGCAGATGATTTCTTTTATGACAACTTTTTAAAAAGCAGACAAGCAAAACTGCTAATAATCTAGAAACAGTTCTAGAAATACATTTACAGAGTAGTTTTTTTCTTTTCCATGTTCACCTTTCAGTTTAAAAATTTAGGACTAACACAGGCAAAATTCAATGAACAAACAATGAAGCATTATACGAATCAAACCCAAAATGGGTGGAAAGGGGGAGGTGCCCTTGCCTTCTATTTCCATCTACCTTTGGGCAAAGGAGATGTCAAGAAATTGCTAACACAGAATGTGAATAGTTTACTTTCCCTTTATATGAGAACACATTTATTTCAAAACCACTGTACTAGATGATCAAATCATCCTTTTGGCCTTAGACTGTATGAAACTATGAATCAAGAGTTCAAAAGGATATGCTGAGAATTAGTCCTGATACATTTTTATATACCTCTGCAGGCCCAAGCCACTCACTTATACCTGCACAGCTCATTTTTTCTTTCCTGGAGCTCAAACACAAGTAGCATCCCTTAATGTTTTTTTCTTGGCAAAACATTCCAACAGTAGCTGTATATGGTCATGGCTCCAAAAAGATTTTTAAGGCTCTGAACCACTTAATTTCTGATTTTTGGAGGTGCTGAGCTTGTATAGCCCTCTTTAATTTCATTTATGAGTGTGCGCACTCAGCAGGTTTAAGAATCAAGCAGCTGAAACCCATGCAGAGATACTTAGACCAAGAATTGTGTCCCCACAACCACTTCTGCAGTCCCTATGAAGTCGCTGGCAGGACTCATCCAGGGATGCATGCCTTGGATCTGTGGGGTGGTGCAAGCAGGTGTGGGGCCGGCTAGGTGCCCCCCTTTCCCATGTGGCTCAGCTCTGCCTGCTCAGCACAAGCCCAGTCTACACCTGTAATGAATATGGATCTGTGGCATTGATGGATCTTGAAGTCAATCTCAAATTACAGCATGCCCACGTTGGTAGAAGTTGCTTCTAGAAGGCTTGTAAGGAAAAAAAATGCAGCTGAGTACTTAAATCCCTTTGGATTGCTAGCTGTTAAGATAGATTTCATGCTCTACTGGACCATGACATTTAACATTATTACTGAAAAAAAATATAAAACAGATTATTCATCATCCTCTGATCTGTCTTTAAACTCATATGCATAAAATATGAGAAACAAGCTTGTTTTGTTCCTAACAAACAGAGGATGACCTGATTTGCATAGTATCTGAAATTCAGTCCAATCCCCCCCAATATTTTGCAGCTTTCAGAGGGAAAGATTGCTTGAGGTATGTCATACGATCACTTTAACCTGAGGGGAACACAGGAGCTTCTCTGAGGGTCTGGTCCAACGGATGTGACCAAAGCCTCCAACAAAGGTTTTGCAGGTTATTACGCAGAGTGGTGCGCAGTGGGGAAAAAAAAAAGTTATACTTTCCTCTCAGGAGAAAGAGCAGAGAAGAAAACCAGAGTTTTCCCATGGAGCACTGCAGATCCTTTGTCCTTCTGCCCTGCTTTAAGCACTTTTCCTCCTCGGAGCTGTGGGTGGCAGGGGGCAGCCCCGTGGGGATTGCAGAGCTCTTAACTGTGCCTGCCAGGATATCCACTGCTACAGAAAGGTCTGCCACCAGGACACGTCCCCACCACAGCCCAGCTCCCCCCCCACACCTCGGCTCCGTACCCCACCCCCATCCACCGCTTCTGCCAACATCAAGGTGGGTTTTGTGAGCCTGGGCAAGCCGTGCTAGAGGAGAGCGGGGAGCCCGAGGGTGTCTCCTCAGAGATCACTTGGTGCTGGAACAAATTGCTGGCATCTGTGTGCAACATTCAGATGGTTCTGAAAGGTGAGCAGCGTAAAAGAAGAAATAAATTGGTCTCCCTTTTGATTCTTTGTTGTGGTTAAAAATCTGACACGGTTTGTTGTTGGTTGTAAAGTAAGTCATTTTTAGCTGGCTTTTGTTTCAGACATATCAAGAACATTAGGCCTTCTGCCGCCTGTTTGGGTTGGAGGTTTTGCTGGAAATTTCATATGTGGCCTGTACATGTTCTTGCCTCTTAATTAAAATGAATGGGCCATTGAAACTTTAATAAATAGATACTTTGTTCCAACAATTTATAAAGTGTGTCAGTGGATATTAGCATAATGGCTTTCAATGTAAACAAAGGGAAAACACAATGCTTTGAATTTTTCCAAAAAGAAAAGTTAACTTTCTCTCCCTTAACCCAAAGTCCATAGAGCAGCAGGGACGAGCAGAAGGACTTGCTGCATATTATCAGTGGAATTGCATTGCTATACAAAACTTTTGAATCTTGAACATCATAGCATTTATAACTGATTTGGGTTTTGCTTACTTTCTGTTACCACCTGCATGGTGTAAGCACAAAGAAGATGCCTACGTGTACCTCAATTCAAAGCCCAGGAGGTTCACTATTCATTTGTGTTGACTCTCTCAAGAACAAGTCTGGGAAACCGTATTTGACTTTCAGAGGTTTTATCATACAGAATAAATGGAACAAAAATAAAGGCATGAATAAAGACACTTTGGGGTTATTTCTACAGAACTTAAATAAAAAAGTTTAAGATTTGGTTTATTTCTTGATATCCACTTAGAGCTCTTGCCTCCTAGTTTTGCTGGCAGAATGTAGTAAATACCTTTACTTTCTGTCAGCTAAGGCACATAGGCTGCTACCACAAGTCCCTTTTGCCAGATAAGATCACTCAAAACCAGTTAAGTGCCTTCAGTTTTTATTCTGTATGGCTTTGTGAAGCCTGATTTTAATGCCTCTTTTTTTGCTAACTTATGGATTACATTTTGAACTCTTCAAATGCCATATGTCAATGCATTATTGTACAAAACATCGAGACATCCTGTACCCCCACAGAGCAATTTCAGTTTCTGGTAGGATTTTGTTACTCCAAAAATAGATAGTGTACTGAGATATTAAATAGAGTGGAACACTGGGATCTGAATCCAGATTTTGAAGGAAAAAAAGAAAAAAAACAAAGAAATAAGGGAAAGTTAAGTTTAGGAATAGCACAAGCTCCACATGATACAGTACTGCTCCACACTCTTAGCTGCAGTGTTGTGTGTCAGGTGTGTCAAGGACTGTGTGAGCATTCCCCCTTTTTTATGAGACTTATACAATGTAGTGTTCTTGCATAGATTCCCTCTCCTTTGCTCATTGAGAGCTGATTCTAAGCTCATTAAAATAGGAAAGGATCCTACTGGCTTCGGTGCATTTTAGATCAGACTCTTTGTCTGGTTTCTAATGAGGGCAGTAAATTTCCCCATATAGAATATATGGTATAATTCTTTTGAAGTATTCTTCAGCTGCCTTTCTATCTGCAATAGTTCATTTGTGAGGGTCTTGAAGTATAGCTACGAGAGAGGTGAGATGAAATGTGCTGTCTTACTGGATTTCCAGATGAAATAATAGCCAAGTCTCTCCCAAGCACTTTCCGTTCAGCTTGAAAATTGTCAGGTCCTCTGAAAGGCACAGCTGTGTTGCATTTTAGGGACAAAATTGCTACCACTAAAGCATTATGTTTAAAACATTTAGGCACTATGACCACAAATAGAAATTCAGTCTTTCATTCTCTGTTATTTGTCCAGTGGTACTGGTATGTTTGCAAAATTACGTGGTATTGTTAAATTGGTAAGTCCCCGTAAACCCTGAACCAATGGGGTTTGGGGTTTGTTTCTTTTTTTTTTTTTTTACTGGTAGTATTGACCAGTACTTTACTGAGTTTTTTAAGACTTCTATAGTGTTCCTACATTTTTCCCACCATTGTTATATTTTACAGGACAATTTACAATATACAGAAAAAAAAAAAGCATTTCCTTTGTAGATTTTCTCTGTGTTTCTGAGGGGTAGTTTATTTTTAACTCGGCATTAGAGGTGACCAAAAGTAAAAGATTTAAGGAAAGAATAGCAGAAGTCACGTTAACTTTATCACAGCCAACACGATATTGGATTATGGTGTCTTTGAAGCTACTTCACTCTGAACCTGACTTTCATCAAGCTGACAAAAAATGGTCATTTTGGGGCTCTTTTGTGTTCAGTGTTCAACTTCTTACAAAATAACTACATTGTATGTTTAACATGCCAGAAATAAGATGTGAAAGACAAGAACAGTAGGATCTAAAAGACTATAACAATGCACAGCTTGTTCAGTGCCCCTAAACACTATCCTTCAAAGCTTTCTAGTATGGGTTTTGTTATTTATTGCTACTGTCAGAGAAAGCTCATAATGTGACAAATGAAAGGTGAGGAACAATTAAGATGAATGGTAGAACATAGTCTACCAGAAGAAATGCTTTCTAAAATTATTCCTTTGCAGATTCTTTTAAGTCCATCTGAAGTTCAGGAAAACCTGGTATAACTAACACAATTTTTTTTAACAGATTCTCCCAAGCAGTGCTCCCTTAGAAGGCGGGACAAAACTCACGCTGTGTGGATGGGACTTTGGATTCAGCAAAAATAATAGATTTGAATTAAAAAATACCGTAGTCCATATTGGAGGACAAATTTGTGCTCTGGAAGCAAAATCTAGCAACAAAAACAAGTAAGAAACCTAAAATATTAATTTATTTTTATACAGATGTTATTTATGTGGCATGAATTTTTTTTTATAATATAAACATTCTGTCTATAAGTGTCATCTCTGATTCTGAAATTTCAGACTGGAAACAATCCCTTGGTTTGATAAGCTCCCCAAGAAAAAAGTGTTCAAAGCAGAGATCAAATAAATCTAGGTAATGCTGATAGCTCCTGCAGCAGCTTTTTCTAGTTTGTATGCAAAATGCTGTTCAACATCTGTGGGAGCTGGCAAGAACGAAACTATTCAAAGGTTTGAAAGAGGGCAGGTTCATTTGACGGGATCCTGCTGGGCTCAGTTATGTCACCTCCATTTTCCTCATCTGTGGAGCTGCTGGAGAGAAATGTGAGAAGATGCAGGTATTTTGTCATCCAGAGGCTTATGACCCTCAGCTGCACCTCTTCTCCTCAGAAATAAGTATTTGAGACAGTGGGATAATGGCTTAAGACAGAGGTTATTCTGATTGTTATCTTGAAGAAATTAGAAGTTCACTGAATATCCTCTCATTTCAAAGCACGTGACTATCTACTACCAAAGCAGTGTGCAAATCATGGCACGTTTTCCCTATTCATATATATAGCAGCAAAAAGATCACCCTCTCAGAAGTACTGAGCACTCTTCTAACTGCTATTTTGAACAGTCTTAATGCAAACAAAATGATTTAAGGAGACGAGTTTATATATGAGACTGTAAAAGACTGTAAATGTACTGTAAAACATTGACACATGCTGCCACTAAAGTTCAAGTTTAGTTTTTGGTAATATTTATACAACAAACATGTATATATGATGCATTTTTTCTAATCCTGTTGTCTGCCAGAATTTGGCACTGAAGGAAAATTAAAAAAAAACTCAGCCATTGAATGGGAGGTATTTTTTTTTTTTCTATCATGCTCCTTTTTTTTCTGAAATTTATTCAATATACTAAAATTATTTTCTCTGGTGAAGTATAAACACTACAGTGTTTTTTTTAGTTTTTAAAAAGATGACCACAGTTCTTTTAGCTGTTATTTCTGAAATGTCCCTGACATACGTAGATTGGTGATTTGTGTAGTATGGATCCTCCATTATTACGAGTTTAAAGTGGTTCTATTTTAATACAAAAAAAATAAATCAGACCAGAAAAAAAAATGTAATCCCATCTTTTTCCTTGTTTTCCAAAGGCTGGAATGCACAGTTCCTGCTGCAAAAAATCCAGGTTTTAATATATCCAGTAGTGTTTCTGTTGGACATGGCAAAACACTATTCAATACATTTTCATACGTGGTAAGCACTATGATTAAAACTTTATTGTCAAAATTAGCTTCAGTATTAACTGGAAAGAGACTCCTCATGAGTCCGATCTAGAATAGTAATTCTATATTCCTGTTTACTTTATTGTTACTTTATGAAAATGCTAATTAATGTTTTAAGTTTCTTCCTCTTCACATTTTGAAAATTAACAATACGTTCTTTTTATTTTTATACCCTCCTCAGAATCCTGTAATAACAAGTATCTCTCCCACCTATGGCCCCAAATCTGGAGGAACATTGCTAACTATAGCTGGAAAATACCTAAACAGTGGAAAATCCAAAAGGATTTTTGTTGGTGAGAAACCGTGCACCTTGAAAAGGTAGTGTACTTAGTAAACCCTAATGCCTTTAATATTGAAATAGCTTGATTAAAATGTCTTGGAGTAAAAAAAAAACCTGCAAATGTGCATTGCTCTCCTCTCCCTCTGTTACATATCAGAGAATTCATACTGCAGTAAGCATACAGTTCTGGTTTACATCCTGAGCTTAGGATGTCTGAAAGGTTCCTAGAAGGGACTAGAGTTCCACAGAAGACTTGTTTATTCTGTAATGCCTTCATTAACCTCATTAAAAGGTTGCATAGGGAAGCAGCAAATCAGCTTCTAATGGACTAGCAACTGCCCGTTTCCCATCAGTTTTGTCCCGTGGACTCCCGCACACTCAGCCCTCTCTTGTATTAGCAAGAGCTGCTGTCCATCCAGTGGCTCTCTGTGAGCATCCAGTGGGTGCAGGTGACCATTGCCTACCTGTCTCTTTGGTGGAAACCTGACCAGTGTGGGAAAGTGCATCACATGCAGAGGAGCAGCCATGTCTGTGCTACAGTCAGTGAACAGCCTCCAAACCAGAGGCAGCATCAGTCTGGGGCTTTTCCTGGTATATCTATGTCTATGTGTATATATAGATAGATAGATATGTATATAGATATAAAACATTGTTCTGAGGATTAAGCCAGAATTTGTTGTGGCTCTGTCCTGGTTCCAGTAGGAGCTCAGTCAAGAATCTTTGATATGCTCTCTGTGGAAATGCCTTCAATCCCAGCTGAATACAAATGTTAAATACTAAGCACAGATTATCTGCTGTGGCCAGACAAGTGTTCTGAACCTGGTAGCCATTCTACCATGGCACAACTCCTGCTTGGTCCTGTTTTCCAAGTACAGCAGAGTGGCTCCAGAATTGTCACCTCTACAGCCAAGGGCATAATATGGCCCACTGTGTTCCAGGAACAGGATGTCCAGCAATTCCTTTAAATTTTGAGTGTCTGCTAATGATTATTATTATTGCACTGGTGGAACATCAAAGTTGTGGAGAACAGAGGAAAGCAATAGCCTATTTGTTAATGTCAGACTCAAAGTCAGGAGAGATAAATTTTATTCTTTCTGCTAAATAATTTATTGTACGTTTTTGATCAAATCAGCTAAATCTGACCAAATCAAGAAAGGAATTTAGGTATTCAAATCTGATATTTAAACTCTACCAAGTTCTTGAACACTTCTGTTCAGTGGCTCCTTAATAGTTTAGAATGGCATTTATTGATGTCATCATCTCAGCTGGTCAGCTAATGGACAAATATATAAACCTTTTGGGAATGTTTAATGTGATTCATTTGAGACATCTACTGTGGGGGTAAGGTGACAGCCAGCTCAGAGGCAGACATCTGCTTTGGTCAGGGGGCCTCTAGGTATTGAAATGTAGTTGGGGCTTATCCATCCCCAGCACCACTCTTTCTTACCAGCCAAGTTGTCTGGAAACTTCTACACAGGTCTTAGCCAGTTTCTCAGGGCAGGTATTTCTCGACGTAAACAGGCAGCTTTCCCCAGTTCTGAGGGCAACTAGATCAAAAGTTTATTTTTTCTGTTAAATGATAACAAAAAGCTTCCAGACACATATGAACAAATCACTAACCCCTACACCACACAGTAAACCCCATCTTCCTGGAAAGCTTTAGAAGTGGCAGCAAATGCCCCTTTTGTCTAATTTGGAGACAATCTCTCACATCCTTTGAGAATAGCCTCACTTGGAGGGCTCCTGGATGTGGCTGGGCCCAAATTACTGAAACCAGCTGACATTAGATTTGCTTGTCTAATCAGCTAGTACCTTTGCCTTTGGTGTGCCCTACTGTCAGGGGCCACACTTCATGTGCTTCAAGCTTCAGGATCCTTCACACCTCCACTCACTCACCCACTGAGCTCAGTGTAGGAAGAGACTTCCAGAGCCAAGCATGAGAGATCAGGGGGAAGGTGAATACCCCAGAGACTGTGCTGCTGTGCTGAATCCAGCCAGCTCTTCCAAAATTTTCACCTTCTGCTCTCTTCTCCTTGCCCTCTGCCTGACCCTCAGCACTTCCTGGAGTTGGCAGTGCCTCCAGAGTAGGACATCTCTGACTGTGCTAGTAGCTACCTCACCAGCAGCTTTTCTTGGAGTTTTTAACACAGGGTAAATCCTGTGGATTGGAAAGGGAACAATGTAAACCTTTGGTTACACAGAAAAAAGTCATTCTCCTTAATCTTGGGCATGCTGTCATTTTCCAGGCTGGAAGCTGTCACCAGTAGTGCAGAAAGTCCTTCCAGCAGGCAAGGTGCAAGTCAACCAAATTCAGATGATTCTTCATCTTAAGCAGTGCTGTTGCTGTTTCTACCCTATGCTTATGTGTTGCATATGTTGCTTTTGCGGGTCCAAAGAGAAGCAACTAAGCTGGTGAAGGGCCTAGAGAACAAGTCTTCTGAGAAGTGGCTGAGGGAACTGGGGCTATTTAGTCTGAAGAAAAGGAGGCTGAGGGGAGACCTGGTAGGCGCTTGTCTCTTCTCACAAGTAACTAGCGATAGAACAAGAGGAGATGGTCTCAAGCTGCTCCAGAGGAGGTTTAGACTGGACATTAGGAAGAACTTTTTCACTGAAAGGGTTGTCAGGCATTGGAACGTTCTGGCCAGGGTGGTGGTTGAGTTACCATCCCTGGATATGTTTAAAAGTCATGTAGATGTGGTGCTTGGGTGTATGGCTTAGGGGTGGATTTGGTAGAGTAGGGTTAATGGTAGGACTCGATGATCTTAGAGGTCTTTTCCAACCAAAGTGATTCTATGACCATCCAGTGTGGGAATCAATGACATTTTTTGACAAGCAAATCCTTAGGCGGGGTTGGGCTCACTAAAGGGCAGTGTTTTAAACGGAGCCCAGGTTTTATCATGCTGACAAGGAAGCCTTTCTCTGGCCTTCCAGCGTTTCAGTGAGCACTGTGGAGTGCTACACCCCGGCACAACGACTTCCCCAGGAGTATCCTGTCAGGGTGGGGATCGACGGAGCTGTTCGAGATGCAAGTGGTCATTTCACGTACAGAGAAGACCCTGTTGTTTTAAAAATTCATCCAGCCAAATCTTTTCTAAGGTGAGTAAAAGTTTCTTAGGGAAACAAGAAAAGTAATGAATGAAAGAAGAATGGCTACGCTGCCCAGCAATCTATCAAAAGAAATTGCATTTTTATCTCTATCTGCCATGCCAATTGCTTCTATTATGGTGCAGTTGCAGAGGGCAGATCATTTCCTTTCAGAGGTGAAGGAGAAGGGGGAAGGGCGCTTCTTTTCTTTATCTGATTTAACTCCTAGCTGCTGCTGAGCGTACCTGTGATGTCCTGCTGAGATACCTACTGTCCAGCTAAGTGTGTCTCCTATGCTGTGTCTGGATATCACACTGATTAGTGAGGAAAATCATTTAATGTGACAAGTCAGTGGTACTCGGAGGGCAAATGGATTTTAAAATAGTCTAAATCCAGCGCTACATAAATATTATGAATATATACGTATGGTAGCATGTGTGTGTTTTTAAGTGACACATTTATGGTCTCAGTAGCTCTAATTCAAGCTGTCTGCCTTTGCCAAAAAAATGTCATCATTAAAAAAGACACCTTTTCCAGCACAACTGAAAGCAATAAGTTAAGTAAGTTAGCAAATGCCAACTACAAGTATACGCCCTTCTTTAAAATGCATGCCTTTGTTTTATAGCCTGGCATACCACAATTTTTAGAAGTATTTTTCTTCTACTTGATCAGTTGTAGCAAGTGTGAAATTTGTTTCCCAAGAAAATAATCTCACTGCTCAAAGCTATGTATTTGCATTCACCACATATATCCCTAATTCTGGTTTTATGTTGTCATTTCTGCTAAAATATAATTTGTAATTAAGATTATCATTGCAGATTATCATTATCCCGCTCATCTTTTTTCCTTTTTTTTTTTTTTTTTTTCCTAGTGGTGGAAGTACAATCACAGCTCAGGGAATCAACTTGAACTCAGTGTGCTTTCCTCAGATGGTGATTACTGTACCTAAACTGGGAATGAACTTCTCTGTGGTGAGTCATTCTTGGAGAAGACAATCTGTTATCTCGTCATCTTTGTGTAGTGAATGGCACAGAATTTTCAGTCAAAATACCTTGATTTTTGCCTTGAAACTTTGGGGTGTCCACCAACATTTTAGTGTTTTCTGCACAAACTGTTTCCACTGCACAAGGCAAAGCTCAACAACAAATTTGAAATTGAGCTGGGAGTAGAAAACAGTTTCCAAGGAATGTCTTCCAGAGAAATAAGGCTTTTACAGTATCTGATAACAAGATCTTTATATTGAAATTTCACAATGCAAATTCAATGACTAAACACAGAACAGTGCAAGACAGGTACGGCAGATTACATGGCAAGTTCAAGAGCTACTGTGATAGGCAGGAAATATATCCAAGTGGTGACTGCAGATATAAAATGAAAATGGAACAAGTGTCAAAGAAAGAGGACAAGTAGAAAGGTAAAAACAAAAGTGAGTATTATTTTGAAGAATTTGATTGCCATATTACCTACTGGGGCAAATCTGTCCTAACTTATTGAAGTTCAGCAACTAAGTTTTAAGAGAAGTTTGGGCTTTTGTAGTTGGGTACTCTGTATAAAGGGTCAGTCAAGTCTCTGAGCCTTCTTTTGGTACCTGAGTGAATAACACACAGTGTCTAAATCTAAATAAGGTGTTCAGATATGACCATGTGATCTGCTTTAATATTCATAAGGCAAAGATGACATTTATTGCCTAGTTGTGGAGGAAGTGTTCCCTGCAAGCTTTTGCCTACACATTTGTCTTGCACCTCAAGCATTTTCTTATCCTGTAAGGTCTGTTTAGCCTAACTCAAGCTAAATTGACCTACATGCTTTATGACATGCTAAGTTGCTGCTCATATTCTCTGCTTGTTGGTAATGATCATCACATGCTGTTACCTGTGTTGAACTCTTAAGTATTAAACCTAGGTTGGTTCAAACCATTTTAAATGGTATGTCTGAAAATTTGCAGTCCTTTATAGCTTCAAGGTCATAATATTCTTCATGGTCCTAATTTGTATAATATTATGAGGGACCTGAATTTCAGCTGGAGGTAATCATGGCTTGTAATTTAATTGGTTCAGATTTTAATCTGTAAATCAGTGTCCCTGCAGTGCAACACAGTGTTCAAAGAAACTTTACCCATGAGTCAGAAAGCAAAATATTTCAGTGAAATCAACAAAACTCAAAATTTGTTAGGTTTTGAGTAATGTGGGCATAATTATTTCTTAGTACAAAAGATTTCCAAAGATCATTGCTGAAATCAGCTCTTTTGAGCAGTCTTTCTTTTGAAGTGAAGATGATTCACTTGCTTTCTCTGTTCCTCCATGTTCTCTTCAGGCCCTTATTCTGCATACCTTGCTTTCCAAATATTAGGGACTTCCTCAGAATTTGGACAGATTTGAAAAGAACAGAAGTTTTAAAGAACCAAATCCACTATCCAAAAGTGACTGGCAACTCCAGGCAATGAACACTGTAGAGCTTACTCTCTCCCAGATATTGGGAAATAAACTTCCTTCTCAGCAGTGGTTTGCTGCTGTCTTGCCTTTTAACCTGGTATTGAAGAAATTATGGACATAGACAGTAAGAGTTATGTCTCCTTTTCCTGTTCCTTTTCCTTTTCTCCTTCTCCTTTCCTCTTTCCTTTTTCTCTTTTCTTTCTCTTTCTCTTTTTTTCCTTTCTCTTTCTCTTTCTCTTTCTCTTTTTCTTTTTCTTTTTCTTTCTCTTTTTCTTTCACTTTTTCTTCCTTTCTTACCTTTTCTTTTTCTTTTTCTTGTCATATCTTTGCCAACACACAAGAAGAGGCAAGTCTGACCCTCCTTTTCCATAAGGATATCTGTCCCCTACCACTGCTGGTCTCTAAGAATCCACCCCAGCGTAAAAGCAGCTATACACAAATTCATTCTCCTTGCACAAAGGGTGGAATATAACCTCAATCCAGGGTGTCTTCTACTTTGACACTGCCCAAGCAATATGTTTTATTCTATTACAGTTAAAGGCTTCTGGCACTCAGTGGCTTTCCTGCCTCTGTGGCAGCCCAGCTCTGCTTGCCATTTGTTCTGCCACTAATCTTTACCTCAAGCTTATTTTTCAGGGAAGGATATTTGTTCTCAGAGAGAAAAAGATTTATAAGTGGCAAAACAAGACTGCACTGTGTAACTGAGGAAATTGCTGGCAGAAGATGACTATGGCTGCAGCCTGTCCCACCCTGCACTGGAGATTCTGGGCCCTATGCATGAAAAATATGCCAAAACCCCAAACTTTCATCCAGTCATTACAAAAATAAACAGCGATAAGGGTCTATTTACAGCAGGGATCCAGAGCACTGAAATGACCAGCTATCCTATTTCTAAAGGAGAAAACGGGTTGTGGTCCTGAGTAGACCAAACCCAGACAAACAGTACAATACAAACCAAAATAATCAAGAAGTCCTGTAGCTGAGGTTATATATCTTTCCTTCCTTAGTTTGGGAGAGGTGAGCTGAGTCATTTTTTTAATTGTTGTTTAAGCCCTTTTTCCTCTTCAGTTTTCTCTCACCAGCCTCCTCCAGGAAGCTGCTTTTGTCAGCATTCAGAAACTCTGGCTCTTGGGAAAACCAAAGCCAGCACTGAAACACATCCCAAAGCATCAAAGGAAAGTACTGCTGGGAGGGACCACAAAAACCTAGCCTGGCTTGTTTCCCTGAAGCAGGAGCAAATGTACCCAGACCACTGCCTGATGGATATTTGTCTAGGCTGTTATTAAAACTCCTTGTGAAAGAAATTTCACAACCTTGCTTAAACAAGCTTTGGGGAGAGCTGCTCTACCTGCTTACCTAGTGGTTTGGAAAGACTTCTTTCTAATAATTAACCCAAATCCTAGCTGCTAATTAGCTATCTTCTTGCTTAACCCTCAGTGGACACAAACAACAGGTCTCTCTGGACACAAACCAGTCTCTCCTGCTAATTTTACATATTTGCAGTACTATGATTCAGCTTTTCTCTTTTCCAGTTAAAATAAATCAAACTGCTCCAAATTCTTCTGGTAAGCATTGTTTCCTAGAGCTCTGCTCATTCTTTCTGCCCCCTCCCGGACCATCTCCCACCTGCCTAAAACTGGTGGTGCCCGATTTGGAAGAAATCTCACCTTTTCCTGTCACATTTCTGCCCCCAGACCCTTAATTCTCTTCCTGAGGCTTAATTGTGGCCTAGAGCCCTCAGGGAGTCACAGTGTGAATGGAGTGCCACTTCTGTAAGCAGCAGGAGCTGTTTGGGATGCTCCCCATCCCAAAGCCTCAGGAAGCAGAGCCAGCTGACACACCCTGGGGCATCTGTTCTTCTCTGCCTGTTTTCTTTCCATTATGGTGGAATAGATGAGCAGCACAACTGGTAAAAGAGTTTATATGGAACAACTCCCCATAAGAAATGGAGTTTCACTGAGACTGAAAAGTTTTGGGGGCAATATGCCAGTCCTTTATAGCAGACACATTTAAGTTGATCTTTTCAGCTTTCGTGTTCAAAGTTGAGTATTTCTGAAATTTTTTTTCTATACAGCAAAAATGCCTTGCTTCAACTTTATAATTTTCATTCATATTTACTTAAATTTCCTTAAAATTATTCAATGCTATGTTCACACTAGTTGTGTTTATATTGTATCCTATGATAACACTATCAAAATAATACATTTTGCCTTCTTTGAATTTGGTATTTCAAGGAGTGAAAAGATGTCCTAGAGTTATTGAACCATATGTTTCAATACTTGCAATGTGTTTCTTTTTAATTACATTTTTGTGAGTTCTTTCGACCGTTTGTTCTGACTAGGAACAAAAAATACGGATTTAGGCAGCGCTGCATAAATCCCAGCAGCTCTAGATAGTGCATAAGGATACACAAACCCTCTCACTTCTGCTCATCTCTTCCCGTGTGAGGTGCACAGGGAGGGAAGCAGCTCAGTCCTTCCTTTCACTTGTCATTGCGCCTGGGCAAAAGCTTTGCACAGTTTGGAATGATGCTTGATCAGGAGCCTGTTTACAAAATAAGTGTATTCTAACCTGTACTATAGGTTGTGCTAGATGATTCTTCTGCTTCTGTAGTACTTGGGGCAAATATTTTCTCTTTAGAAGACTGTACTTTGCATTGATTCTTCAATAGTGAACAAGTGATCATCTGAGGATCTTTTGCTATAGCATTTTTAATATCCCATCTATTAACAAATTTGGTTATATATCCCCACGGCTTCATCTCTTCTAACCATGAATGGCCCAAGGTAGGCAAGGTTGCAGAATTAGAGAGAAGCACCTTTTAATGCATGACCTTCAACAACTGACCCTGTAGCTATGCAAGACAATCTCTTCCACAGACTTTTAATTAGTTCTTCAGTAAGTAGTGTCTTGAATGATCTTTAGCATTTCTTAATTGCTCCCTGCTAGATGCTGCTTATTGCTATATTACAGGAGAATTTTAAAATGCCCTAAAGTTCCTTCAGTGCTTAGAAGCCTATGAACAGTCCGTACTCACCAAAATTCCTAGAATTCAGCTGAAAATGTCTACCTTAGATTTATTAAATAATTGTAGAAGACATTCCCTGGAAACTGGGGATGCTGAGCCTATGATTATTGAACATATTCCTGACTACCTATCTGAAGACACTCAGGGTTGGATCCTCTATCTGTGTTGACTAAGTGTATGAAACTGCCATAGAAACCTAGCAAAGAATTTTCTTCACAAATGGGAACCATTGGCCTTTCTTTCTGTGTTGAATTTGCACCTCCTGCACATCTCCTGTCAAGGAAACAGTGCAGCAAGGGGTGTCAGGTAAAAGCCCATGCTGTGAAATCACTGGGGTGCCGGGGATGTGGTGCTAGCAGGTACAGTGATCATCTCAAGCCCAGGGAGGAATTTAGACTTCTAGTCAGTATTGGTCATGTTACGCAAAGGACTAGCTCTCAGACCAAGAGAGGTTTTACTCTACCTTGTGGTCCAATGATCTGATTGACTAGAAGTATCATCTCCCATGCCTTCATCCAAGAAGGCAACTAGAATGAAAATGCTACCAATCCTTCAGGGCCGTTCATTGTGCTACCTGAAATGACAGCAAAAGTCCATGAGTTCCCTGAAAAGTCTTGGTTCCAAGATACCCTGCTTGAGTGTCACTGCTCGGTTTCTAACCTATGCAAGAAAACTTTCTGAATAGGCTTTCCTCAAGTCAGACCTGGATTCTCATCTCCTTCTACTGAGAAATCACCCTTTGGCAAAGATAGTTGGAGTCTCCCTGTCCGTCTTTAACCTCATTCATCTTTCATTTCTCACTGGAACTCCAAAAGTTTACTTTTTATTAAAAGATAAATTGGCCCTTTTCTCCCTTCTGACTGTTACAGTTCCTATAATACACATCCAACTGCCCCTCTCATATCTGAATCAGCTGCTGGGAGACCTCTGAAATTCAGAGTTTCTCCCTCATACTTTTCCTGTTTTTCTATCAGATGAAAAAATTGAAATTGAATTGAGTACTGAATTTCAGATTCTGTAGGTCAGGTTTGAATCAATTGCCTTAAGGCTCATATTTTACAAAGGAAAGAGGAATACGTACCTTTAAGTGATGAGTCATATGCTTTATTATTATTCTTTTGGGGTATAGTATTTACTTATGCTTGTGAGATGCTCCATAATTTTTACATCTTTTCTTTCTTATTGGCTTCAGATGTAGATTATAGTCACAAGAGGAACATAGGCTTTTCTCTTAAAGTAAATGTACTTTAAATCTTAATTAAATAGAAGTTAAAGGTGCTGGGTGATTGGCAGTATCTTAAGTGAGAAGACAATAGATTGAATTAGGGTTTTTTTCTTATAGATCCTCAATCCAATATTTCTTGAAAACTAAACCGTCATATTCTTCAATTGCTAAAACCAATTTCAAGGTAAAAATGTCATGTCAAATCATGTACCAATAAGGGCATTGCAAATAAGATTTTTCTTGACCTTACCAATCAGTCACATTGCATCCCTTCCAAAGAGTATTATTAGATTTTTATCATTTTCTGAAAGCTTTCTCTTCAGAGACCAGCCTGATAAAGTAAAGTATCTGATTCTAATAGATAGCCACAAACAAAGTTATGAATACCACTGCTATTCATTTAAGGTACATCACTACTCTACAGTAGATAAAAAGTCTAATGAATTTACATTAATCAAAAATCTAATGATTACCTGGGTTATATTTGGGTTTATGATTATATATATTTTTAGTAATCCCTTTTTAGAATCGACACAATATGATAAATATCTTAACAAATATTCTTGTATCGTGGAAAAGTATGACTTGATCATCCATTATACTAATGATGCACCTTATTATTACCATACTGATTCAAATGAGTTTCTAGATCCATGTGATGTAACAAAGACTGAGATATAGTCAATGGTGTATAACAAGGTACCCAAAAGTGAAAGAACAGTCTAATACTGTAGGCAAACGGAGCAAAATTCTGCCTTGTCTTGTGTCCCACAGATTACCTTGCTGTGATGAGGGATGCACAGACATTTCTGAAATTGTGCTAGGAATTGTGTGTTAGTCACATGAGCAGGAGTCCCACCAGCACCACTGAGGGCGGCACCAGGTTATTTAGCCAAGTGCTGAACTCACAGCGCACAGGCGCGTGACCCTTGTAGTAGAGCTCTAAAACTCTAGTGCTCAGCTTCAGAGCCTTGATAGTGTTTCCCTTGGCAGAATCGAGATTTCACAGTATTATGCACAGAAACATGAATTGCTGTGGTGATAAGAAAAAGCATTAATTAGTAGATAGTTAATTTAATCCCACTTTTCAAGTTAATGTGCATATATAACTGACTTAGCTTGAATGGTTATGTCACTGATATGAAACAGCAAAATTACCCTGCATTAATTTAGCATATTAGAAACAAATGTAACCTAATTTCACAGCTCCTTTAGGCAGCATTTTCCAATGAGAACCAATTTAATTTGAAAAACAGAACAGAAAAAAAATATATATTTTGGGCTTTAGATGCGCAAAGGTACTCAACAGCACTGTTAGTTTTCCAGGGAAATTTCTTACAGAACAAATGTAAGATTTATGAGGACTAGGAGCTAAGCCCCATTCTTATTAGGGCACATGTCAGCCAGTTTTGGTTTGGTTTGGTTTTTTTAAGTGTAACCTCTACTGTCAGGCCACAGTGTACAGGGAGCTACTTACAGAAGGTTTATACAGTTTAAAGAGAAATACTTCTGTGAAGCTGAAGCAACTCTGTTTTTTCCAGAAGTCCTTCAACCATATCCAGAGTAGGCAGCATGAAAGGGAGGCAGAGAGAAGGGATTATACAATACAATGACAAACAAGCCATTCTGCAGCTTGCGTGATGCTGCCCAGCACCCACTGTGCCTCCCATCGATGCTTGTAGATGTGCTGTTGGCATTATAATTGAATTAGTTGTGTAGAAACCTTCACAGTCAAGAGAGAGAAGTTGACCCTTCTAGAGCACCGTTAATCTAATTAAAGCTGTTGTCTAAAATGGATCAGATGAATCCCACTCTAGGTGAGCTTGTTTCCTTCTGTTTACTATAAAGACAATTTTGACAACTAACCCCAGTGCCGGTGTCTGGATGCAGGCCGGATCCCATCTGAAAGGATTCCTATTATCCCTGCAAACTGCAATTTCAGCTTCAGATCAGGCTGCCTGCAAATCTCCTTTGTCTGTGGTTGCAACACATCAATCGTTTTAGGAAGGACCTGTCTTGTCTGTCTCACGAGTCCTGTGTCAAGGTGGTATGGGACAGAGGGAAGCACCCTGGCCAGGCATTTCACACTGGATCACGCCCCCACGGCACAAAGCATGCTCTGGACAGTCTTCTGGAGTGTGGGGTGCACCAGCAGCTTTCCCTCAGATAGCATCTCCAGAGCAGGCCCTCACAAGGAATAACAGCAGTGAGGGGCAAGCATGGCTTCATGCCTGTTGTCAGGTGGCTCCTCAAGCACCTCAAACCCACTGGTCCAAGATACAGTGTGAAGCAGGTCCTGCAGGCAACACTCCTGCAAGGAGCCTGCATGGCACCTGTGTACCTAAGCACCAAATACCACATTTCTGGAGCCTTACACAAGCACTTTTAGAAAGAAGATAAACTCTGCTGAGCTTTCATGACCCAGAATCCCATGGTGGCTTTGGCTTTAAAGCACTTGCTCACAGAGTCCGTAGGGCCTTTTTGGAAACTGTGACTTAGCTACACTGCAGGTAAATGATGCCTTACTTCCCTTTTCTGCTATTTCAGTCAAATTCATTGGCACTGTTTTAACTGCCGCCTCTGATCCCTTGCTATTGCTTTGGAAGTGAAAAGGGAAGAGAAGCCCATGTGGCAGCCACTCTGACATAGGCTGAGTAAGCTGAATTATGGCTGCTCAGTACATCAGGGTAGCCTCCTGATGGTCCTTGGCTTTGGAAATAATTTTCCATTAATTATCTACAAAATATTTACTTTAAAAGTGCTGTGAACAATCAGGCCAGGAAGCTTGTTTACTTGAACATTTCCTCAACAAGAGTGCAAACACCATTGACATGAAGTTTTTATACTTTTCTCCCAGCTCTAAATAAACTCTGTGTAGCACTGATCAGGATTTTGCTTTGGTTAAAGAAGAACAAGGCCCCCGGTGTTTATTTTTTCAATATATGAGTATTGTCAAAGAACAGTTACGTTCATCAGTGACTTCCTATACACGTACTTACTGCAATTACTTCTTTCTTTCTCTCTTGTAGGCATGTAGCCACCGCTCTAGCTCAGAGATAATCTGCTGTACAACTCCTTCATTGAAAGCCTTCGATCTCCAGCCACCCTTTGTAACCAAAGTGTTCTTTATTTTTGATGGCGTCAGCTCTTTGTACTTTGATTTTGATTATGTAAATAATCCTGTATTTAAGCATTTTGAAAAGCCAGTGTTCATCTCAAGAGGCAACCAAAACATTCTGGAGATTAAGGTAAGAAACGCTGAAATAAGTTTTTCAATTATTCACAAGTGCACATCAGCAGCATAGCATGGAACAGACAGTTGACAAAATAAGTGAAGCAAGGGCAGAAAGAGCGTGTTCAGTACTGCACTCACCCCAGCCCCCAGCTGTCACAACTTATAAGATGCAGAGCTGAAAACAAAGATGGATACCAGGGTGGTTGTTGGCATCAGATGCGTTGGCGAGGGGCTTTCCTCGTCCTCGTGGGAGGACCACGCAGCATCGGCTTCTGATTCCAATGAGCTGCGTCACCACTTCAGGACTAAATATGGCCAGCAGCCCAGAACCTGAAGTGTATGGTCTGGGCATGAGTCTCGGCTCTTACTGTCACATGGTTTTGTGTCCTTCCTCATGAAAGACACGGAGTTGCCTTTAGCAAACTGCCGAGTGGCTTTGGCGCTACACAGCTGAGGGAAACTCTGGCCTATGCACAAAGTCACTCATGAAGATCAGTCACCATTGTAACATAAATATTTATGGATGTATGAAAAATGCAAAGCTGATGCTGAGTGCTTCTTAAAAGAGCTTTGAGAATAGCCTACACGGCACTGAGAAACATCTCTGAGGAATCTGGGGTCCTTGCAGGCACAGGCCACTCTCTACTACAGTGAGAATGTTAAACCTATTTTGTGAGAGTCTGATTTCTTGAAATCTAGTGCTTTTCCAAGTCAGAGTATCAAATAGAAACAGTATAGATGCTGGTATTTATAATTTACACTGAATGCTTCTGAAAACTTATTATTATGTACATGTAAGTTATTCTGTATAATTATAATTCAACAGTTGTTATATAATATAATATCTTGGAAATGCTTCTCAGAAGAGAATCAGTCTTAATGCTGGGGTCATGTCTTTTTGTAGCTCCTCCACAGCTCTGTAAGCCAAAACTTTTTCCCCCTATGACAGTCATGAAATCTTGAAACCCTCTTGGAGGTCTTTAACTCCAAGATGGTCCAGTGGGCCAGCTCCTGAGCTGCAGGCAGTGAGGAGTTACCTCAGAGCCTCTGTCAGCCATGCTGGGTTCCAGTCAAACTCTCTTAACATTGATCTATCTCCACAAAGTGTTTTGGGAAAATTCCAAAGAATAATCAATCTGATTTTTTTTTTGCTTTGTTTTTCTACTCAGAACTCGTGGCCGTACAATCACCCTTCTCTCAATGCAGACCAATTCTCTGGTTCAGTTATGGAGAAACGCTAGCAAGAGTTGTGGTGCGCGGGTCAGTGGAGAGCTGGGAATATGTAGCTGCTGCATGGCTCAGTGCCTCTGTGCAGTGACAGCAGTGTTTCCCAGCATTTTCCAGGTCATGCATATCAGCCAATTGGAAGGAAGACTTAATTTGAAAACAGTCATAGAATAACTTGGATTGGAAGGAACCTCTGGAGGTCTTCATAATCTAACCCTCTTGCTCAAAACAAGGTTAAGTTAAAAATTCGGTCAGATTGCCTCAGGCCTTGTCTAGATGAGTTTTTAAGATTTCCAAGAACGGAGATTTTACAGCTTTAAAAAGCCCAGCTCCTCTAGCCTTGCCTTGTGCATCCTGTGCTGTACTTCATCCAGCTTGTCAGTATAATTCTTGTGCTGTGGCATTCAGAATTTGACACTGTTCCCTAAGTGTGCTCCCACAAGTGCTGAGCAGAGGAAAACAATCACCTTCAATCTCGTGGCTTTGCTGCTGCTAAAGTATGTGGTGAGCCTTCACCACTCCAATGGCACACTGCTGCCTCAGCTCACCTTGTGGTCCACAGGGACCGCAAGTCCTTTTCTAGAGAATGTTTTCCTGCCCTGCTGTCCATAGCCTGTCCTGGTGCATAGGGTTCTTCCAGTCCAGGTGCAGGACTTTGCATCTGTCTTTGTTGACTTTACGAGGTTCCTGTTGGCCCAGTACTCCAGCTTGCCACAGCCACTCTAAGGAGCTTTCCTGCCCTCCAGTGTCTCAGTCATTTTCCTAAATCTGAAAGCGCAAGTGCATCCTATCCCTTTGTCTAGGTTGTTGATGAAGATTTTTAGCAATATTGGTCCCAGTCCCAGCCAATGAGGTATGACATTTGTTAAACTTCTAACCTTTGATCTGATGTCCAGTCAGTTTTTCACTCACCTTATGGTCCATCCATCCAGCCCATATCATCCCAATTTGTTTTCAATGCTAGGAGAGATTGTGTGGCAAGCCTTGCTAAAATCAAGGTAAATGTTGTCCACTTCTCACTCTTCATCCACAGAACCAGTTATCTCATGGAAGGCAATCAGGCTGCTCGGGACAAACTCACCCTTAGGAGTGATGCTGGTTGCTCTCAATGGCGTTCTTGTCCTTCCTCTGCCTGGAAAAGCTTCCATAAGGACTTGCTCCATAATCTTACCATGGACTGAGGTTAAAAATTAGATGCATTTTAACTCTCTTCTTTCTTTTACTCTTGAACCTTTCATACTTCCTTAAGGAGATGAGAAAGGCTGGCTGGGAACTGTCCCACTGACAATGGACCAGTGTCACAATTTTGTAGCATTGATGTCACCTGTAGTCATGGCACCCAAGGCAGATGTCTACCTAAGCCTAATGCCCTGATTATTTCCTGGCAACCAACTGGGGAATAACATTATTGAAAGCTGGTCTCCTAGAATAAAGCATGAACAAGCACCAATGTAACATCTTCCTTTAAATAGAATTAGTTATAGTGGGATGCTTCTATCAAAACACTGAGGCGACTTTCAGAAATTATAGTCAGGAGCCAAAGGATCATTACAAGCCATATTAGCAACTTTTCCCTCACCCCATACCCGCATTCAAAAATACATACACACAAGTTTACATGCCTCATGGTCATATTTTGTGCAGTAATTAAGCAAACTCAGCATGAAATTAAATGGCAGCTTGCTTCAGTGAACAGTCTGGTCTACCAAACCAAAGTTCTTTTATCTTTTTCTTAATTAGTTTCAGAGGGGTGGAGGGAGGTTTTATCACCAGTTTTTCAGTCAGACTAATCTAGTGTGACATATTTGGCTTTCATCAGATGGCAGTGGATACCAACTGAAAGGTTCTATTTGGTTTCCCCTGATGACCACAAGATGGTTTTGTAAGTAAATGTTACACACAAGAAAACATTAAGTCTTCTATCTAAAACACAGTTAGGGCACTGTGTGCCACAAATGCCAGCCCTCCTTCTGCTCAGTGCCAGCTCTTTTGTCTTCCACACGACAGAGCCTCTCAAGGTCCCACATCATCATTGTCTTCCTCTGCCAAGTATATGGCTCTTTGAAGTCTCCAGTCCCTACCATGCCCCAGTCAGAGGGGTCATGGCAGAGTGGCTTGAGGCACTTCTCTGCTTTGACACCGTGAAGGCACCATTTCAGCAGTGCTCCCATCTCCCACCAGCACCAGAAAGTCTCGGTGCAGGAGAAATTCTGGTGTTCTGCTGTTGGGGTAACCAAAGACCTGAGTCTGCAGAAGAGGACAGAGTTTCCTTGCTGCTTCCTGCAGGAGCCACTGGCCCAGATCTGCAAACTGGCCTGCTGACAGCCCAGTGTGTTGAGTCGTGAAAAAAAAAAAAAATAAGGAAAGACATAGCTTCTCCTGTCAATCTGCCCAGAGGCCTGATCTTGTCTGGTGTTGTGCTTGTACACCAAGGCAGCGTGGGGAGTCAGTGCACGCTTCCAGAGGAGGCCGAGGAATGGGCTGCTAGGTGACTGAAGTGCATTTATAAACATAAATCTTCCACTACAGAAATAAGTAGCACAATTGCATTTCATGTTACACGGCACATCTGAGATCTTGTCTGTCCTTTGACACATCTGTCCTAAAACTCAGAGCAGGACAAGACTTACAAAATTGCCAACTCCATTCCTAAGCCAGTACAACACTTTCTTTGTGAGACAGTCTTAAGGAACTCTTCTTGTCTGTTTATAGGTCACTCTATTTCCAATCTTCTTCCACATTGCATAGAAAATAATGTTTCTCTCAATGTCTAGTCCAAGAAAGTGAAACATGGAAACCCTCATATTTCTGAGCAAGCTGAAGTGGAAGCTCTGCAGCTGTGGTAACTCCTTATTCTTCCCAAGTCAACACAGTCTACTTAGGAACCTCAAAAATTCTTTTGACCCAAGTCTCAAAATTTCCATGCCTTGGTTTGTTGTCTTTCTACTGCTCCTAGACTTTCACTCAGATTATTCCCATGTCTCTAAAGCTGTGAGGTAGTTGGTCTGTCAGATTGGTTTCCAACAGCCACTGCAGTTTGCATGACAGCATGCAAGGGCATTGCTCAGCAAGAAGGGGGTAATACACATTCTAAAATAGGAAATACTCTTTTCCAGTTCTCACAGGAGCCAGTTTCCTCCTTTTATTAAAAATGGGCAAATTATGTGGTCCTGAGAAGAGCAGAAACACTGCTGAAAGCATTTTGAATCTCTTAATACATCGAGATATTATAGTGAATATATTTGAAATTATATTAAAGGTAATATAATGGTAATGGTAGTAAGTAAAAGCTACTATCTTCATTATGATTTACTAAGGACCACCTTTTCAGTGTGATTTTTTTCCCCCTTTGGGCAAGTATCGGTTTTGGTGGAGGAAAAAATTCTAAGATTTCATATAGAAGAAAAAGAGACCACTCACCCACACTCTCCAGGATAATACATTTATCCTGAAGATGGAAAACTCAAATTCAAGTCTTTTCAGGTACGCCATTCAAAGGAAAGGTTTGAACATGAATGGCTCACAGTCTGCAGCAATTTTCCATACTAATAAGCAATCATCAGTCAATCACACGCTCCCTGGCCCATTGAATAATTACTTAATTAGCACCAAACTGAATGTCTCCAAGTAGACTGAAGCTAGAGTGCAAAATGGGCTTTTTTACCAGCAATTAAAAAGCGTTTACCTAGAGCATGGCTTTGGCAGTCAGAGTAGGACATCAACCTGGCTCTTCTATATGTTTATTAAAACTTTCCCAGGGCTCAGTCTGGTTCTGCAACAGACCTAAAATATGTGCCAAAATAAGATTTTTTAAAGCCATGACACCTTCCTCCCTTCTTGTGAAAAACTCCCAGATCCAGCCCATATAAGCAGCCTGTGTGCCTTTTCTTTCAGCTTAAACAGGGTTACACACGGGCTGGGGCAGCTTCCTAAATCCTGATGCACTCCTGAGCACAAGACATCCTGAACTTGGCCTTTGGAGACTAATGTCACACTACCAGAAGGAATAATATTTCATCTAAGTCTGGGATGTGAAAGCAGGTTTTCTGAGTAGACAGTGCACTTTTCATGCTGTCATCTTTACCAGGGTTTTTTTCTTTTTTGGTCTGTGGAATGTGATTTTAACAGATTTGTGCATTTTTATGATTATAATTAATTAGTTTGCTTTGAAAGCTTCACTCCTGCTACTGTAACCACTTGCAAAACAAAACGTCTGAGATGCCTTTAGTTTGTGGATAATATAATGCCAGTTTTGTATAAACAAAAGGGTCACATAATGTGTCCTTTCTTGTGCAAATTATGCAAAAATCTAAACACAACCAACAGAATTTATCCTTCAGACATTTACATTTTTAGAAGTCTGCATGTGATATATGAGTATTTAATGACAGCAAATTTTTATCATCCTCTTCTGACTTGTCTGTCAAATTCCCATTTACATGAAAAAAACCTGATACGTGCATATTGACGGGGCAATGTAAATTTGTGTTAGTCATTTATTTCACAATTGTTTTTCTATTAAAAACATTTTCCAAGGTAATAAAAGGACTTCTTGAATTTTATGAAATGGTTATGTAATATGGCACTGATTTTTTTTTTTTTCAAGGGAAATTATATTGATTCAGAAGCTGTTAAAGGAGAGGTGCTAAAAGTTGGAAATAAAAGCTGCGAAAACCTCCTCCTGCAGTCGGAATCAATTCTGTGCACAGTTCCCAGAGACCTCCTGAAATCCAACAGAGAGCTAAATATAGAGGTGAGGCAGCCACACCACGCATGAGATATTAATGCCATATTAATGTCACTATTGAACCTATAAACTTTAAATTTAAGGCTAAACCTGTGTTTACAGAGATATCTCCCTGTTTGTTTGGGGTGGAAATTCAAATAATATAGATTTTTGAAGAAATATTATCGTCATTGTTGTTATTACCTGTTTGTAAAGAGACTCTCTGGAGCCTTAGGCACAAAGTAGGACCTGAACTAGGCACAGAAATAGAATGGTAGTTATTAATCCAAACACAAGAGGAAACATATGGAGAAGAACGGGAAGCTATAATGGAGCAGGTTCACTTTGGAGCTTGCAAGCTCTTTTTCCAGAAAAAAAAATCTGCTGCCGTTAAGAGGATCAGAAACCTTCTGAAAGATTTTTTTTTGTCTGCTTTTTAGAGTTTAGTTTCAATTCTTTTTGTAAGATGCAGACCCTTAGAACAAATGTTTGAGTTCCACCATTGTTCTAAAGGTGGTTTCACTTGAGTCATTCAGCGTTCTACTGCAAATCTAAATTGTAAACAGTTTCGACCTACTGATTCATGGAATAAGACACAAACCTTTCAGCATCTGTGGAGGTTTTTTTAAATAATAAAAAGGGGAAAATCACATCAGAATGGGATTACCTTTAAACTATGGAATTTGCTGATCACAGATTCTGATTCACTGAAAACAGTGGAGACTTTGCCAGTCATTTAAGGGTGATTAAGATCTAAGGCTATGTAAGCTCTTTGGAGGAGGGACCATCTATTTTTTTCTATGTCTTTATGGTATTAATCTCAATAGGATCCTGGGCTGTGAATGGTATTCCTATGTGCTATTTCAATCTAAGTAAATAGTAATAACTAATTTGCTCTGTTAATATAGTAAATATTAAATTCTTTTAATATTCATTTATTTTTTAAAGTACAGATTAGATTTCTGGGATGTATCAGGCAAACTATAAAATTAGATGCAGCTCTCCTTTTGGTGTGTCTGTTTCCCAGCCCTGTAAATGCCTAATTGTATAGAATACTTGATCACATGTTGCATTCAGGACCTGTTTGTATATTTACATATGTAACTGGGACTAGCACTACATTCATAGCCCTGCTATCGTATACCACTATATGATATTTCCCTAACCTGTAAGAAACAGATAGGTGTGACGTTTTGTGCATAGAAAAGAACACAACATAAAGGGGTTAAATAAGGTTTCTGCTTGTTTACTGGCAAGGAGCCTCAGAAATTGCAGTCTGCCCAGCGAAGAAGAAAATTTGCTCTTTTGACGGGCAAATCCATCATTACAGTACCCAGAGGAATGAATTCCACAGGAGGAAGAGAAAAGATGGCCAAACGCATTCCAACTGACTGAGCTAGTGCCACGTGACCTAAACAGTTTTTCCCTGTTAGCTGCTTGGTGTTTGTTTGCTTGTTGATTTTTGGGGTTGTTTTTTTGTTTTGTTTTGTTTTGTCTCTTTAAACTGTCAACAAGCTGGCAAGGGACAGGCTCACGTGACCTTGGGAACTAAAACACAGGCACGCTGTCAACAGAGAGTTTGATGTTACAGCGTATTTATGCCAGAACGACACATATTAAAGACATGTGGGCTATTTTTTTTTAACATACATCTCAATCCATATACCCATAGGCCCATATATTCCCGTGCACCATTTGAGTAGAAGTATGAATTGAGTTAATTCTGAATTAACATCTGGTAGCAGTGGGACCCTGTTATCCGCAGTGCGTGTGAGAGTGCGTGCCGTGTGTGTGGTGTGGCACATACATAGCCGTGTCACGACCAGAGCTCTCAAAGGCATGTAATGAATCATAAAAATTTAGATCTGCTTTCATGTCCCCCAATATAATAGTTTCTCCACTCCCCAGTGTCTTATCGCAGTACAGCATCACAAAATCAAGATTTAATACATATGGGACATATCAGCTTATACTTCAGTACTAATAATTTACTTCTTGCTTGTCTTTTGAAATCATCACTCTGATTTTTTTCTTTTCTTTGTTTTTTTTTTTTCAGTGGAGGCAAGAAGTTTTGTCAACAGTCATCGGAAAAGTGCTGGTCCGGCAAGATCAGAATTTCACGGGACTAATTGCTGGAGTTGTTTCAACATCCATTTTAATTTTTATCTTTTTGGTGTTTTTCCTCTGGAGAAGGAAGAAGAAACAAATTAAAGGTCCATCATTGTTAAATCCATCAAATAATTCCATTATTATATCTTAGATTTTAAAAACTGACATCAATTTATGCTTTGTCCAATTGCCATGCAGTGCCCTGTTGTAACCTGTCAGCAGAGGTTTCACAATCAAGTCCAATGTTTAGCTGCATTTTGGGCTTGGGCTCTTGCCTGAGCTGGGTGAAGGGCCACACTGTGCCTGAAGAGAATGATTTCGAAGGAACTCTGAGTTATTAGGACAACTCAGTAACCTCTCTTCCCCAATCAGCCTTGGAAGAGGGGACAAGTAAATGACATTCATGGAATCTCGAGTACTCCAGCTTCATCCAGTTGCCTTGTAGTCCTCTAGGATGTGCCTAAATTGTGTAAGACATAGAGCCCTGCAGTGTCCCCATCTCCTGTTTACCCAAATTAGGAACTTGGTCAGAGTGTGCCTACTCTCTGGACCCCATGTCTGGGTTTCCTTCCAGTGGGAACTGCTGCACTATGTAAGAGGAGAGGAGCTAGTACATAATTGGGCCTAGTTTTAATGCAGTATCACAGTCAGATTATGAAGCTGGCCTCAGAGTCTTCAGAGCTCTCTTAGATCTTCCAGTGTGGCCTAGAGTGGGACTTAGCACAAATTAACAGCAAATCTTGTGCTATACAAATAGCTCAAGTTCAGGTCCTGCACATATCTGCCTCAGTAACAACCCAGCCCTCTTCCCAGCACAGCAGAACGTCTAAACTTAAATAAATCCCTACCTGAATGTTGGGATACAGCAAACATGAGGGTTTTCTAATAAGTCTTTCTCCTCCCGCTTCAGATGTGGGAAGCGACCTAGTGCGCTACGATGGCAGAGTGCACACTCCTCACCTGGACAGGCTGGTGAGCGCGAGGAGTGTGAGTCCCACAACGGAGATGGTTTCAAGCGAATCTGTAGACTACAGATCAACTTTTCTGGAAGGTATGCCTCTATTAGGAGTCTGCGTGCATGATACTTTGTACAGCTTCCTTATCGTCTGTCTTCAGGTGATAGCTATTTCAGTCTTAACCTCAATTTCTCATCTGGTTTCTCTGTGTCTGTGTTGTTTTGGGCTTCTGTATGTTCAGAGGCTTGCTATCTGAACTGAGCTGCTCAGCCTCCTCCCCAGATTAAGGTACAAAGGATTTTTACTTTTATTCGGTTGGAGAAAATATATAAAATACTGTTAGTAAAAACTCTCTGTAAATATGCTCCACAGTTTATTAGGAGCTACTGAATACAATGGGTTTTTTGTTATCATGAGGTCCGTCACAGCACACGCAAATCCACTCTGAAAAAAGTGATTTTAAGGATAGCATTGGGTGGTTGTAGGTTTAGTGTGTCTCTGTGACTTCATACAGTCATTATAAAGCAGTTCTCTCAACCCTACATGGGACATGGAGTTTTGTAAACTGATATTCTTTTATCTGTTCATGTCCCTCCTGTAAAATGCCACATCGTATAACACAGAAATGGTGATTTTTAAAATTAAGCTAGAGGGAGTGAAAACTGTGACAAATTGAGCGAAGTTCCATGTATGCCGAGACGCCAGTCTACAAAAACACACTGCTCATTTTCAAGCCTGTAGGCGTGAGGGAATAATAACCCTATCCTGCATACGTTTTTATGCCTTTTAACACCATTTTAGAGTGGGTATTCTCCAGAAGAGCACTCTGCTGCATTTATCATACCACGTTAGGCTGAACATGTCCTTTAAGACGTGTGGAGACCATGTTCCGTGATTACCATTAAAGAGTATGTATCTATTGGGAGTTACTGTGTAATGATATTGGAGATATCACAGATATTTGTATTGATACAGATCTAGTTTTGTCCTGTTCAGGTGCTGCCATATATAGCTCAATAGAAATCACTCCAAATCCTTATTTCACCTTTGTAGTTCCCAACCGCGGAGCTGCTGGAGACCTGGGCCCATTCCCAGCTTCCTTTATGATTCTTTAACTGCTGCCGCCAGCTCGCACAGGAAGTTTCTTGATTGAAAGATTCCCAAAGGAACAGGAAAGTTTATGCCACAGCTTAGAGGGGAAAGTGATACCCGAAACAAAACTAGGCAGAGATCCTTCATGGGGCGTGAATCTGCAGTGGTCCTGGGGCCACTGTGCACTGGCAAAGCACAGCACAGACTGTACCCAAGAAGAAGGTGCATTCACTTAGAGTTACTGTGGGAATGTTTACTTCAGCTACTGTCAAAGAATAAAATGAGAGGAACATTAGAAAACATGCAGATTTACATGTAGCAGCTGTAAAAATTATTTTGCAGCCATGGCTAGAATATCTTATTGTGATTATTAAATAGATATTTTCCCTTGCAGGCATAAATATGGCTTTGCAAATGTAAGAGTTTGTATTTTTGCTTCTAGATAAAGCAGCACTGAGTTTTTCTCAGCACCTGGGGTGATAATAGCACTACATGAAAATTTCCCAAGTTTTATGCATAAATACATAAAGCATGTCTGTACAACATCTTTTACTCTTTGTGATAAAATGTCTGATAATTTCTGTTGTTATATTTATACCCTTTTTATTTTTCTTTTTAACCTTGGGCTAAATTCTGCTCATTGACTCCACTGGAATCATCCCAGACTTAAATTGATGTAAATTAAACTTAGCTCTTTGATTCTATTACAAAAAAATACTAGGAAAAAAAATTATGAAATAAATGAAAGCAATTTAAAATACCTGAACAACATGCTGTTCACAAAAATAATTTTCTCAGATAAATACTCTTTGCTTGACTGAAACATTTTAATTTCTGCCATTTTAAATCAGCTGGCTCATGTTATTTTCATGAGTAGCACCAACTGTATTATCTTCAGCAGTAACAGGATATGAATCACCTCTAGGCATTTCCCTGGTTGAATATTTACCATTGGATAAATATAGCTAGTCACCAGCAGTTTGGAAACCTTCATGAAATGTAGAGTTCCCTACCAAATTAGAACATGGCAATAATAAAAGGTTTCATGTTTTTAATTGTCCACTACTTCCTCCTCCCATATTGCCATCATTTTTCCATTTTGCTCTTGTTACTCCCAGTTACTAGAAATGCTATAACCTACACTTGGCAAGAAGTGACAAGGCTTCATTCCATCCCCTCAGAAAAGTGGAATTTTTGCCATTTGCTTTCATAAAAGCAGAGCTGAGACAAGCATAAGTTTCTAGTGACATGGTTTTCCCGGAGTTTGGCAGATTAGCAATGCATATTTTCATTTTCCCTTTGTGACCAAAACTTCTGCAAAGCCAAGCCACTTCCAAACTGATAAACTGAAACCTTGCTTACCAATGAAATAAAACTCTTCCCTTTCCAAGGAGAAGTCTGAAAGGATTACAACAGTTTCTGTTCATCTTGCAGATCAGTTTCCAAGCATGTCTCAGAATGGATCGTGCAGACCTGCCCAGTATCCTCACTCTGACCTCTCCCCAATTCTGTCTAGCGGAGACTCAGATTTAGCCAGTCCACTTCTCCAAACTAATGTCCACATTGACATCAGTGCCTTAAACCCTGACCTGGTCAAAGAAGTGCAGCATGTGGTTATTGGTGCTGACAGCCTGATTGTGCACTTCAGCGAAGTAATAGGAAGAGGTGAGTACTGCAACTCTTACCTTGCAAACTGCCATTCTTTTTGCACACCTTTTCGTTACAAATCATTCTGAATAAGGTGCCTACGTGGAGGCATTTCAAGCTTTTTTCCTCTTACGGCACTGCATCCCATGCACCGAATCCAGAGGGGAACCAAGGGGCTCTCCTTTGAAGTCAGATGAAGGGTTGTGCATTTGATCGCTTGGAGAAGACACCAAAGGGAGGAAAGAGTCTGCCAATTAATGGTGCTCCTTTGAACTCTGAGACTTGCTGGTTCCCCCTCAGCTGCCTCACTCTCGCCCTTTTCCAGGCTACAGAAAAGCTCAGACAGGGTTTCTGATAGGCGAGGCGGCGGCGCAGGAGGAAGCCTGCCGCAGAGTATCGCACGAGCCTAAGGCGCACGCCTGAACAGCAGGGGATGGGTGCTGAGGCAAGGGCCCCAGCAACCTCACACTCAGGGCCTGGGAGCCAGCAGGGTTGCTACACGACACAGGAAACTCCTGCATCCAGTAACAGTCCCCGTGGGTGAGGTGAAATGCACACACCCCTTCTCCCTCTGCAAGTTTTCCCCAGCTCTGAAGAATCCACTGTCTCCTCCTTCCAACGGCTCTCCATTCCCCCTCTTTCTTCTCCCATCCTAGCTGCAGTGATGTGTAGCTCCTGATTCACTTCCCCTTATTTTTTTCCCTGATATAGCAAGCCCCCTATCCTTCTGAAATTTCTCCCGTCACTCCTACTCCTCTACATCTCCATATGCAGGTTCCCTCCTTCCTTCATAGCCCAAGCCAGTATTTTTGTTGGGAGCATTTATTAGATTCTGTACTATTGAGCACCTATTGGTAATGCAAGCAGAAACTGCATTTTCAGTACTTCTGCAGATCATGCAGAGAGGTCTCTTGTTGAATGTCAGAATACTGATAAAAATTTGGCTATAAATGATATTCCTAATGCCTATTCTGCAGGAAAATAGCCACAAATCAAACAGTGTGTTTCCCTTCCATGTATTACACTTCATCATCCCCAAAGCAAGGGTGGGCTTTCTCATTCCAGAAAAATCCAAGTAGTTTCCCATTTTTTAAATGTTGAAAAATATCAGGAATGACACTGACATAATTAACCATTTTTAATTCTCTCCTCCATAACAAGAAATGGGCCAAGCCCAAAAACATTTTAGACACACCCAATCCAAGCTTTAGGATTTGTGCCCAGGCTCCAAACAATCTGTGGTCTGATGGGATTTTAGTTGCTTTTATAAAACAAACTTTTTATTAATTTTACCTCAAGCCAAAAGCAAAGCCAGCTGGGCTCTGACCAGCTTTTATAACTGGAAACTAGTAGAATTAATCAAATAGTCTTGTTCTCTGCTGAACTCACACTTGACAATAAACTATTTTGCTTTCTAACTGCAAATATTAATATTTTTTAAGTGTCCAGTAGATGGAACATTTCTGAAGGAAAACCACCATTACACATACATAATTTGATTTGGATAAATTAACACACATGCCTGGATCTCAAAGTTCTTTGTTTCCCAAACAGGCTGACCTGACTTTTCATAGTAGGTTTCTGTAGACTGCCCCATTTGCTTGGCAGGGAAGCACAGGATCAGAAAGGATTCCTGTGTACCTGGCAGTTTATTTCACTGCTTAGATGGCGAGAAAGAAGGCAATTTTTGTTTATCGTCTTTTAGTGACATTTTGCTCTCAGAACTAAGCTATAGCACAGACCATAGAGTGCTGCCTAGTGATGTGGTTCGTCTGTGATCAGCAGAACAACTCCCAATCCATTCATGGCCAACACACCACTTCTAACACTCAACATTTTCCAGGGAACAGCAAGACCTGAGAGACTGTAAGCCCACAGAGACCCTCCTTATGCAGCTTTCCACTGAAGAGGCATCAAGGCTGGACAGTCCAGTGTGAATGGTCCAGTGGTCATGTCAGCTACCAGCTGCTCCCAGTGCCCTCTTTTGACATGTATCTCACAGGAGAGTGTGGTGGGAAGGGGCTGACATGGTTTTTGTGCACATAGACTTTAGGAGAACATGAAGCATCTGTGGCGCCAGCCTTGTCATTTTTTATACTCTCCATCCACGTCAAGAAATATCAATTATGCAGCAAATAGAGTTTTATTTTATGTAATGGTAGTTTTATGTGTTAGTTATGAAGTACAGATTACAAATGTTGGGAATTGGACAGAAATTGAGTGTGATCACTTTCTTAAAGCATAATTGCCAGCCAGTGGAAAATACCAGAAAGCTAATTTTACTTATTAAAGCTAATCTTGCTCCTTTTTTACACAGGACATTTTGGGTGTGTGTACCATGGGACATTGCTGGATAACGATGGCAGGAAAATTCATTGTGCTGTGAAGTCACTGAATAGTGAGTTACATGTTTAATAGTGAGACATTACCGTAATTACAAAGATAATCGGGGTGAAATAATTAATAACAATGAGGTGTGCTTTCACAAATAAAGATTCTTAGTTGCGGCTGGATCAGATATATCTCTGGAGCAATTCCAATGACTTCAGATTACCACAAGGCATTGCTATATACTTGTACATCAAATGAAATGCTCATGTATTTCTTCTACGAAGAAAAGGACACAGGAAAATTAGGGAAAGGCAGTGTAATTTTTAATTCTACTGACTACTGAAGCTTTGGTTTTGGAAGTTAAATTGCTAAAGGGTGGGCAAAGCTGCTGGAAAAACGGGAAGAGACTATAACATTTAATAAAGGCTTTACTCAACTCTTGTCATTCAGTTCTAAATAATTCACAATAAGAAAAAGAGAATTGGAATTAAAATCACCAACAAACTGTAATTGGTCATTGTAAGAAAACCAATGCATGCAACCTAGTTGTAATGTGAGAGCTGAGGAGCATGTTTGTAGCTTCTCATTATCACTTTTTTGTGCAATGACATGCTGCACAGAAATAAATTGTACTTTGTTTGGGTATCTTTTAATTAACTCATCTTATTACTGAATCTCGCAGGGATTACAGACCTGGAAGAAGTAGCTCAGTTTCTGAAAGAAGGAATAATCATGAAAGATTTCACTCATCCCAATGTTCTGTCGCTCCTGGGAATCTGTTTGCCCAATGAAGGATCCCCCTTAGTTGTTCTTCCATACATGAAACATGGAGATCTTCGAAACTTCATTAGGAATGAGACTCATGTAAGTACATGGTGAGGTCTACCAAATGGTAATGCAAGTCTGACCACGCCCTGCTCCAACACCACAGGTTATAAGCCCTGATAATTATATTACGTCTATAACTTGCTGCTGTGACTACACCTTAACCCTTAGCACTTGCTCAGGCTGGCACCAAGCCCAACCATAGTGCTGCCACTCCTTCCCTTCCCCCTCAAATTCCTCTCTAGAATGTTTCCCAGAAATTATCAGCAATAAGTACTTCTCATTTCCCATCCATAAGCCTCTTTATAAACAAATGTGTTTATGAGATCTAAGTCAAGGGGCCCAACCATCTGGTGGTTTAAACTGGCATATCTCTGCTGACTTCAGCACAGCTGTGCCAGTCATCACCATCTGCTCTTCCAGCTCCTAGGTAAGGGATCTTCATGTCCAGCTAGTGTCACAGTGCTGTTATTATCAGTATTTTTTCTTTTTAAGAAAGAAAAACACTAATTGTTATACAAACTGGGAGTACTCTAATATCAGAGACTTTCCATGGTTCTCAAGTGTGCCTCACTGCTTTCTCTCAACTATGAGACTACAGGTCTTGACCTAGGTAGTGTAAGCCCACTTTGTACTGCAGTATTTCACCTGAATAGTGCCGTGGTCCTTACTGAAATAGAGAAGAAAATCACTGTTGAACAACATTGTTCCACAGAAGAAAATTATATGGAGCAATGTGAACAACATAAAAAATCTGTCGGATAACAAGTCATGCTGTTAGATAAAAGAATTACAGGTTTATGTTTATACTTATTTTGATATTTAACATTTTCAGTAAGGTCTCACCTTGTAGACCAGCAGAAAGAGTTACCAAATTTTGTGGAAGATCTTTCTCTGGTAACTGCTAAGGTCTCATTTGACTTTTCCTTGGCATCACACTGTTCATAGCTTGCACTTATTTTGCCTCAAATAGGACTCTTTCCTTTCTTGGTCATTGCCAGCTGATGAGCTCCAAGTTCATCATTAGCACCTTCTACTATATGCTGTTCTACTACATGCTATTACTCCAAGTCCACAAATGTGAATTTTGTGTATAAGCTGTGATGCTGAACTCTCAGCATGCTGCTCCACTTCCCAGCCCAGGTCATGGTGCTTATGCTGCAAATTCCATTCCTCTGGAGTCTGTCAGCTTTTCTGATTTCTTAAAGTGTGTCTCCTCACTGGAGGTAAGAACTTACACCAGTTTTACTGCAAGCACCAACCTGTCTTAATCATCCTGGTGGCAAGATAGGCACGTAAAAAACTTACAGTCACAGCACAGAACAGTCTGTTCCTTGGTCTTCTGCATACAATGGATCACAAATGTTTGTATTTTACAGAACCCGACAGTAAAAGATTTGATTGGATTTGGCCTTCAGGTTGCAAAAGGCATGAAATACCTTGCAAGCAAAAAGTTTGTCCATAGAGATTTGGCAGCAAGAAACTGTATGTAAGTACAAACTGCCAGTTCTGTCCGTGTTATCACACTTGTCTGTGTAAGGCGGTGAGATGAGATAAATGAAAATTTCCAGAATTCTGCTTTTTTTAGTCAAAATGGAGTGTTTGTTTCACTGTACCATAATTATACTGGTGTTTTTCTTGCATATTGATGAGCTACTCAGCTTGCTAAGGGCTCACTTCTCACACGTAAGCTTTTTCGAGTGTGAGAAAAGCTGAGGTGAAAGTGTAGCCTCTCAAAATCATTGGTTAGAGAGTTTAAAAGGCATCTCCTAAGGGAAGTTAAACTGCTGTTGTCTCAACTTGCTGTGCTTCCACCCAACCTCTTCAAAAGCAGCATGTCTCTGCTGCCACACCTAGCAGGAGGGAGAGGAACACAGGGGAACTTTGTGAGAAAAACAGGAACACAAAGAAACAGCAGTGAGACCTCTTGACAGTAATCTTCCATTACATGAGTATGAGCTTATTTTGGCTCAATTGCACATGCAAATTAACACTAAAAAATCAGAGCATGCAAAGCATCTTACTAGTGTCTGGGTAGCCAGACAGCTCAGTTCACACAGAGACTAACTGATACAGGAGTTGCTGATACTATTATGCTGATTCATCAGCTACATTGTGAATTAATGAGGTACAGGATTAATGTTAGAGTTTCTTTTTAGCACGACATCATTGGTAACTCTGGCTGTAAAAAGTTTATTCACTAATGATGTCGTATTTCTTCTTTTCTCAAAGGGTGCACTCTGTGCAGCTGAACAGCCTCTGTAAAAGAACATTTTCTTGCAGCTGCTGTTTTTTTAAGGGGGGGAAAAATGCCACAAACATGGTTCTCAGGTTTTCTAAGAAGAAAGGAATTGGATTACTGGATTAAAGTCCTGGTTCATCTAATCAAAGTCCAACTAGTGGCAACAGGACATTCCCTCTGGCCTACTGTCTCTTCCTTGGGTGAAGAGGGATCCACTATCAGGATGTCCCACATTGCCAGCTGAATGGCTGCTTTTGTGCCTTTGCATGGCGCAGCACTTCACAGCCCGGAGAACTGCTGCCACATGAGAGGAACATGTAGGGTTGAAGACCCACATTCTCCAGTGGCCATGCACAATCAGGTACTCAGAAGCACAGGCCAGCAGAAAGGAAGCCAGGATGCAACTACAGTCCCCGTGGACTCTTAACTCTATTCCACTATCCTGAAAGAGGTGCAGGAAGCTGCTATGGCATAAGCTGTCCCCTGCTGACCCATCAAAGTATCCTCCTACTCCCTTCATTGGTATTGGCTTGGGTATTACACCAGTAAATACAGCAGATGGTTGTGCACCATTCAGAGGGACTTCAACAGACCTGAGAGTTTTCCAGAGAGAAATCTCATAAATCCAAGACAGGGAAATCCCACAGGTAGAGGCAGAAACAGAATTGTTTAGCCTGGAGAAGGCTAAGGGGGATCTCATCTGTGTGTATAAATACCTAACATGGTGGAGTAAGGAAGATGAAGCTAGATTCTTAGTGATCCCCAGGGACAGGCCAAGAGGCAATGGGCATAAATTGAAATAGAGAAAATTGCATTTAAACATCAGAAGAAATGCTTTATTGTAAGGATGACTGAACACTAGCACAGGTTGCCCAGAGAGGTTGTCATGTCTCCATCCTTGCAGATATTCCAAACTCAGCTGATCATGGTCCTGGACAACCTGCAGTGGCTGACCCTCCTTTGAGTGGGGGAGGTGGTGAATTAGATGATCTTCAGAGTTTTCCCTTCCAACCTTACCTTTTCTGTGGTTGTGTGGGTCTGTAAAGAAGCCCAAAAGCAGGTGCTTGCAGTGGCTAGGTCTGCACATATAATGAAGAATAAGCTTAATCACGTCAACACCCATGTTCTGTTTTCCAACAATGATACTGCTTATCAGGACAAACACCAAGCCTAGGAGGAGCAAAGCTAGGGAGATGTGCTATGGCAGAGCTGTCAACCCAACAGAACTCTCCTTATGCCACTATTCTTTCCCAGTACAGAACCCAAATCTGTCCTTAGTTACAGGACTATGTTACTATATACAGGCAATTACTGAGATAATGATGGGTCCTTCCTTATCAAAACTGAGAGTGAGTGGGAAAGGTGATGCCTTGTCTTGGAAACAAAAATGAGAGGTTTCTAAGGATATGGAAGAAGCAGCAGCTGTGGAAGAAATGATGTACACTCAATCAGGATGTATAGGCTATTAGCAGAAATCTTTATACAGAGGAATTGTTTTAAAGGAATTGTAATTCAAATTATATTATCAAAACAGTATCAGTAATTTTCTGAATTCATTCATTGTGTTAAATGGTTATCAAATATTGCTGCACTTTTGGTTTCACTGTTACATCAGTTAATAGATCCAAGATGAAGTACTGCCTTCCAAAGTCACGGGCTCAAAAATGCAAGTCACTCATTATAACCCAGCATCACTCTAAATCTCACCTGCTCAGTTGCAGATAATACTTTCTGTCATTTCTCTAGGTTGGATGAAAAATTCACTGTCAAGGTTGCTGATTTTGGTCTTGCTAGAGATGTCTATGATAAAGAATACTACAGCGTGCACAATAAAACAGGAGCTAAGCTGCCCGTGAAATGGATGGCTTTAGAAAGTTTACAAACTCAGAAGTTCACAACAAAGTCAGATGTGGTAATGTGCATATTTGTATCACCTCTTAAATCCTCTTATAAGGCCTGAGGCATCTCTCTAGTGTTTAATGAATAAACTAACTCCAACCCCAAACTTAGATTTAAATCTGGCTTTAGCTCACACAGGAGACTGTTCCTTCATCCGGAAAGGGTATTTGTCCCACTCACAAAGCAACGAGTCGTCGGCCTGTTAATCTGTTATTGCTGAGGGAAGAATTAGGCGTTTCATCCCACTCCAAGGGAAGCTAAGGAAATTCCAAGAAGTGAAGCTGGATCTGAACCCTCCTATAGGAGGGGCTCTGGAAAGCCTGACAAAACAGGTTAACTTTGAGACTCATAAAACTTAATAGTTCTCAAAAAAAACTTTATTTATAAATACTTACCGAATGCCTACAGCAATTTCAAGTATTACCTGGCCGTTAATGAAGAAAAAAATTTGTAAGATGAAGTCATTAGTTGGCTGTATGACTTTGTATTTTAGCTCTCCTTTCAATCCAGACTCAACGAACCTGCGATGCATAGAATTTTCACCACGTATATTCTCCTCAGTGTGTATTTACACAGGGTTAGTCAGATCATCGACGCATGCAAATTGGCAGAGTTCCATTAACCTCAAAAGAGGTCTACCAATTTACACTAGCTAAGTAGCAAGCCTATAGGCTTTTTTTTTTTTTCCATTTACTTAGTTGAGTTTCTCTGGCTGTAATGTAAGTGCCTCTTCAAGTCCCTACAGCATTTATTAGCCCACTTAAAAGAAAGCTGAATGCAGTAAAACAACTTTTCAAGGGAAAAATCTGTGGATTTGAATGCTTAAGTCTGTCAAATCACCTTCTAAAACTGGAATGTAAAGCCCTTCAAGCCTTTGACTTATGATTTATTTCTTTGTTTTCTTAGTGGTCTTTTGGTGTGTTGTTATGGGAACTTATGACAAGAGGGGCACCGCCGTATCCTGATGTAAATTCTTTTGATATAACTGTTTACTTATTGCAAGGAAGAAGGCTGCTACAACCTGAATACTGCCCCGACCCACTGTAAGTGAACAGTTTGCAAAGCCTTCTGCAAATGCTGCCGATTCTAAAATTATAGTGGGAGGAAAGAGGGGGTTTCTCTTCCCTTTTTACATGATTTCATAATTGAATATTTCTTTTATTTGAATGGCAGGTATGAAGTCATGCTGAAGTGCTGGCATCCAAAGCCTGAGATGCGTCCAGCATTTTCTGAACTCGTTTCAAAAATATCAACAATCTTCTCCACTTTTATTGGGGAACACTATGTTCATGTCAATGCTACTTATGTCAACGTGAAGTGCATTGCTCCCTATCCTTCTCTTCTATCATCACAAGACAACACAGACATGGATGTTGACACATGATCGGTATGTCTGAAATAGAGGAAAATCCATTCTTAGTTGTATGAACAAAAAACAAAACGTTTTGTCCACTACTTTTTACTGCCCAGTCTTTGTGAGAACACTGTTGCACATGTTTATGTTGTTGCCCAAGTTGCACTAGTACAAGGACATGATATCCTATTGTGTAAGGCTATGGGATTCTATGAACCATCACAGTAATTATCAAGTATTTGGACAACTGCATCAGATTACCAAACGGAAATGTTGTGTGCTACCATCCAGAGCTAGTTCCCACTAGCTCTCATTAATGTGTGTTCAGACCCAAGAACAAAGATTCATCATTAATGCCATGAAGGAGAAAGTACAATACCAGTCAGTATGGATGGAAGGACTATTACTGTTGCATGTACTTTAGGATAATGAGCAGTGCAGAAATGGTTTTCACACAAAAGGCTACGACAAACAATGAGATTTACAAGAGTTTAAAATGTGTTTTCCTATGGCTTAGTCCAAACTTTGGATTTTTGCACAACATCAACAAGGTTTCTCAGAACATAGGCCGTCAAGAGAGCCATCCCCATGGTAAATGTCTTAACAGAAATCAACATCAAAGCATGGTGTTCAGTAAAATAAGTCTGCCAGCCTTGCCGGTCCTCTAGTGCAGTCAGACGGTACATAAAACAAAGGGAAAATCACCTAGCTTAAAGCATTCCTAGTGTCAACTTTATTCCAGCATTCAACCACTTCTTTCAGTCAGACAGCCTGTATCGACAGACCTCTTGCTGCAAAATGCAAAGCCTCCTTTCGGTAAAAATTAACCGCTCCCTGCGAGTAAAGAGGTGAAGACACCCCTATGAAGTGGCAGGCCGCTCGCCGGCAGGCGGTCCCAGGGGCGGCGTTACTCCGGGGGGGGAGGAGAGGCGGGCTGGCAGCC